CTCATCCTTCCTGCAAGCGTTCTGCAAGCCGCGGGTTGGTCCTCACTCATCGAGCGTCAAGGAGATAATCGGGAGCTGTGCAATATCGACGCATTCGCTGTTGCCTGAGATCACACCGCATCCACGCGTCGCGCGACACGACACCAACCATCCCGTCTTGAAGTGGGACGGGCTGAATGTCGTCTCCCGTGTCATCCCTGGTAGCGAAGATGACCTTGATGTTGGCCCAGCATGCCAACCTGCTGCGGCTAGACGCAATCTTGAAGCCCATTCTACGAATACTCTGCAGTGTAAGATATCGAAGACAATCGCATCCGGGGCGGCTAAATCCAGCGCAGTTGGGATCGCGGGAAAATACGTGGCGGATGTCATTGTTGGCAAAAGATGGACGACCTCGTTTACAGGGATACTTTGTTCGTCCCTTTTTGTCCGTCGAGGGTGAGAAAGCCGACGGTCTCCCTGCTTTGGGAACTGAATGGTGGCCGTCAAGGAATCGAAGAAGACAAGCTCTCCTCATGGCATCGCTCAAATTGGCATCTTGACGTGCAGCCGAAAGCTCGTCCAGTTGGTCGCCAACTAGCCGTTTCTGGATTCCTGCCACCTGGCGCTGTCCTGCCGAATGCAGGGGCCGCCGAAAGCAGGCTGAAGTATGCCCCTTCTCGTGTGAGCCGAGTAAACCCATGAACAGCTTGATCAACTTGCAAATCATCACTAGGCTCAAGATCATAGGAGTTGACGTTCGGATGTTTTGCCATGGTCCAGCCAACCATACGACCAGTGACTTTGCGGTTTCCTTACCTGCTAAGACAGCGCCGGGTAAGGTTTATTCGTAACGGTAGCAACAAACAGGTCCTTCTTATGGGAGAATCAGCCCCCCGACAACCATCTGAGTGACCGCGACTAGTTGGGAGGGAGACTCTTTCTAGGCGAGCAAGAGGTTGATTACAATGAACCCGGCCCAACTCATCATTTTGCAACACCGCTGTGTGAGGGCTGCATCTCACTCTACGGGCCGATTTGAGCCTTGGACAGTACCAACAACCGGGAAATCTCAATCTTTATCATTAGCCGGCGGGTTCGCTTCCTGCTTTCTGGATAACCAAAGAGCGACTTCGTCCAAAGTTCCTAGCGGTCGCTGAAGGCACAGAGACCACCACCACAAGTTGTTGGCTGTTCCAGCGATCTCAGAACGGTGCTGTGAGGAGCGTGTCTTCGACAGAAAGGGCGCGCCCAGACTGACCGTGGTGGGGCGAAGGAACATTCTTGTGCAGAAGAATATTCTTAGAAAGGCTGAAGAACCAGGAGGGGAAGCCGGGGGTTAGCGAACACCGAGGTAAGCGCTTCGGGGCCATGGTGATGTTTTTGTGTTGTGGGAAGTGTCGGATTGACTATGCCCCGAAACTGGAATAAGATGCGTCGACTTGAAACCGTCGTTGGACAGCTGGGGAAGGAGGTGAATTTTAGCAACAAACCCTAGCTCCTCGCCGAGGCGAACATTGCCCTCGACCGTGGGTTTTCTTCAATTGTCGTCATCGGCTTCAACGCCCGATCGGCAGGGGCCTCCCGAGCCAAAAGTTCTTGAGATCCACTCCACGTGCAATGAGCAGCAACAGGAAATCCCATCTCTCTCACCGACCTCTGGAGCGCGCAGGTTGGTGAAGATAGGAACCCGCCGTCGCCCACTCCCCGTCGGCGGGTTACGGGGTTGGCTTCGAGTAATTTGCGTCTTTCCGACGTTAACATTAACGTTAGTTATTCTGGCCTAGTTGGTGGGCGTCTCTGCATTGCACCCGGCCTGCTGACGAATGCAGCCACAGCCCTCCGTTTTGTGACAAATTGTGGCGTCGACGAAGGTTTCTTGAAATCGAAGATCGATGGATCATCGCCCCGTGGCGTCCCCAAGGTCGGCGTAACGGCGGCTCCAAGGCCCGTTGGCCAACACCGGAATCGTCTTCCGTGTGGGCGACCCTGATCAGCCTCCCATTAGTTCGAACTATTTAGCCGGGGGGGGGGGGGGCCTTTGGAGGATGTCGCACGACTGATTACCTTTGGGAAGAGACTTGGCGAATGACCGAAAAAAAGACCAGCGAGAGAGCTTGATGAGCAGCACCTCCGGGAACTTTCGTTGGCGGCAGAATGACGCCCGGCGATTCCAGGGAAAGTTTTGACGTGCCTACGAAAAACCTGAATAAGTTTCTTCCTTATCCTTTGCCTTTTTGCACGGAGGAATGCGACCTAAAGGGTAGGTCCAACACCGTAGGTAGCCCTTGCGGTCTTGGGAAGCTCCAGTCGTCGCTGCCGCAGAGGAAAAGCGGAATTTTCAGCCAATTGCTCTCAATAGGGGTGGGGTTTCAGTGATAGGGAAGGAACTGTCGACTTGCATCTCTCAGTGGGCTTCATTCAGACCTCCCAAAACTAGAAAGAAGGACCGGGCCTAGGAGGTTGCTCAAAATGAGGAGAGTTTCCAATCCTGCAGGTGCGAGTCTCCATTTCGGGGCGGTTCTTGCATGACTCTGCCCAGTAGGTCATGAATTTCGTGGAGCTCCCGCTCTCACTCATATGCCCTTCCCACCCATGTATTTTGTCATTCCCATCGCACAATGGACGTCGGCATCCTTCGACCCCTCAACCCCTCCAAACGCACATACCAATCTCGGCGGAGGCACGGCGCCCAGAGGGCCACACCCGAGGAAGCGACATCAACACATGGTCCCTCGGCAAACCCCAAACTTCCACACGACAGCATGGCCTTGCGATGGCTGCCATGCTCCTCTGCGGCTTAATGGCCGGTTCGCCTAAGGCCTTGGAGGTCAGGGTCCAGGCCAGGGCCCCCGTCCCGCATCCCCGGACTATCGCGCCCATGAAAGCCAAAGATGCTTGATGCTACGGTGCCTTCCCTCCGTCCAGTGCGGGGATGACGGGCCTTCCCCAGACCCAAAAAACACCTAGATATCCACTCGCATCGTCGAGCGACCTCCCGATCGCCCGTCACCCGGCTAGGCAATTCATGATGGATTCTGGGGAAGCACGCGCCGACTCGGATCACACGCATAAACAACTCACGAGTACGTACAAGGAAGCACACGCACAAGCAAATGGACCCTCACACCCACCGGCACCCGACACAGTCCACAATCCGCATCTGCCCGTGGACGACCCGAGGCCGACTTGCCATCTCTCCCTTCGGCCATCATGTGAGTCGCGCGTCTATCATCGCCGATCAACGAGGCACGCCGCCGTGTCCCTTTTTCGACTTGCAATGATTTATGCGGCCGACAGAGAGTTACCGGCATGCGATACCTGCACGGAGTCGGCAAACAAGAGCGAATCAAGTCCGGGAAGGCTAAACCTCTCGCAGTGTAATACAACCTGGGCTCGAGACGGGAACCTACCTTTCCTGTCTTTCCTGTGTAGAGTACGTACGAAGGGTGTGAGGTTGGAGTCGCAGAGCCGAACAGCATGCAACAGCATGCCTGGGACCTTTGGGACGTCTGGAAGCACCATCGAACACCTCGTAGCGCGGGCCACACCGCGAATGATACACCGACTGACGGCTACCTGCTGCGAAAACTACATAGTAGGCGCTTGTCCTCGGTGCCCCTGATTTGGTGTGACATGAGAACGGGGGGTTTCGTCTACCTCTCTCCCGGCCGCCGTGTAAATGTTCGCCGGTGGACGACGCTGTGTGCTGGCTGGGCTGGGAGCTGGATATTTTTCGGTTGAGTGTTGGTCCTGCTGCTCACACTCTCGGTTTGGCGGCAACCCTCGTCGGCCTCGGTGACGTTGGTTGGGACCTGACTCGGATGGCATTGCTGCGGGTATTATATTGGCTTTGCAGTGCAACCTTGAGATAATTTCCGGTCCGTTCCCACCCGCATTCAATTCTGTTCTCAACTGGGTTGGACGCACATCATTGTTTCTGCTTCCGTGTTCCCCAGAAGCGAGATGTCGCTTTCCTGGATTGAGCGGCGTCTCACTGTCCTCGACTCTGGCAAGACGGGGAGACGGACAAACATCGAGTTTCGTGCGGCGTGTCAGGTGCACAATGCGCTCCATGAAGAATCGCGCACAACTAGCAGCAGCTCGCAAGGACAACCCAGAGAGAATGAAAAAGCCGAGCATTCACAAGAGCGAGACGCTTCGGGTCCGTGGATTTCTCGGTGCGGGGCAAGGAGAAGGGGGTCGTCGTCACGGAGGATTCAACGGCGGCAAACCGTTTTCTGCCCTGGACAGACACGCTAACGTCAGCCTCCTGGGTCGACCTGGTTCCGTCAGACACTTCTGCCAAGCCACGGCCCAAAGCTGCTAGCGGGGGTGCAGGTATCGAGACCCTTGCGAGCAACGCGCACACCCCGCTCAAGGTTCCACAGACTTTTCTTCGACCGCGACCCCCCCTTGCTGCAAGGAAGAGAAAGCCACGGTATCCTAGCACCCGGACCTTACCGGGGGCATCGTCGGTGCCAGGCCGTTGGCCCGAGCTCCCAGCGTGTGAGTGAGTCGCCCGGAACACACGCAGAATCACTCTGGGGCAATATATGGGAACCCAGGGGCCCGTCGTCCCCGTCCCCCACAAACCCAGCGAGATTCTTGCTCTCAAGACCTGCCCTACTATCCGTTCTCCGGGACAGACACCTCGCCGCCCAGTTCCCGGTTTTTCGCTGACGACCGCGTGCTTCGCATTGATTCGGAAATTCAACGCGCGCGCCGCATCCCGTCTGAGCCCCCCCACCATCACAATCAATATCACGCGCCGCCGCCGTCGCAGTTACTCCTGCCGCCACTCCTTTTACCACCACCAGCATCACTCTGTGCCGTCGCCCGTTCCGGCCCTGCCGCGGATGCCCTCATCCACACTCCCGGGACGGCAAACCCCGGCAGCTCGGCCAGCCTACGTGGGAGGATACTGGGCCACAACGCCCACCGCCAACGACTGAGGGACGGAGGAAAGAGAAAGAGCGAGAGAGAGATAGGGAGGGAAAGCTTACTCACAGCCGTCAACCATGAATTTCTACGCCGCCTCTGGGATGCCTGTGTATCGGGTGGAACGGGAATCGCGGCCAAAGAGCTCCAAGGTCGCGTCGAAAACGTCGAGGCTTCTTGGCCTCCATAGCCCACACAAGGACACCGCGCCGCCCCCCGTCAGGCCTGTCACGTCATCCGATGTTGTGCCACACGACGCAAACTCGATCGACCGGCTTTTGGACCCCGCCGTTGATGGCCCCCCATCTCCTGAGTGTCTTCGAGAACTGAGCCAGCAGATGAGGCAAGGTTCTTTCCGGGACAAACATCTCAGCAATCAGACCAGTTCGTCGGGTTCATCGTCTCTGCGATCACTGACATCTGCCGATCGACCATCGTGGGAGCATCCACTCGACAGCAGGACGCTGTCTAGGAAGTCCTCAGGGCGGTCAACCTCCAGCAGCATGCCTTCTCGAGAACGACCGGAAAGCGTGCAGATCTTTGGCAAGAAGCTTTTTGCGCGACGGGGGAAGGGGAGGCGCGAGAGCAGCGCGCAAAGCTCGTCGAGCTCGATGTACTCAACCGATGCCGTTGACCCAGCGCTGCCCGCTGCGCAGACTTCGGCCCCAAGCCGGGATTCCACTATCCCAGCGCTCTTTTCTGGCATTCGTCGCAGCAAGCAGGATGCGGCTTCCGACGCGCAACGGAAACTCAACATTTCCATGCCATACAACTTCCAGCACGTAGCCCACACGCAAAAGGACCAGGTTCCAGAGTCTCACATCGTCAGCCGTGAAAATGGAACAGTGTCAGCGGATCCGGGTGCCGATGACATGCACTTTGCCGACTTCTCGACTGATTCGCTGCCACTGGACGAGGAGGATGCGGAAGCAGCTGCAACCGTCGAACTTCGCAAAACCACGTCTCTCACCCGGACCTCGTCGGTGGTGCGAAAGACGTCGACATCCCGTCGGATTCTCAGCCGCTCTCAATCCCAAGATCAGCTCAGCATGAACATTCCTCCGCCGCGGCCTCCAAGATCGCCAGTGGAACGGTCCGCGCCGGGCGGGTCAGCCCGCGGCCTCAGCCGGATTCTTAACCGCCACGAGCGATTTGATTCGGTAGACCGGCCAGTGACGAGTGCGTGCTTCCGCAGTCAGCCGTCGTACGCCGACGCGGGGAGTCCGCCTGCGACATCGTACGGGTTCATGTCAGATATGGACGTGATCCACGAGCACGGTCATTCTACCAGTATTGGCTCTCAAGATGACGCAAACTGGCCGTTGCCTTGTCCCAGCAGCACCGCTTCCGAGTTTACGCTGCCCAACGTGCCCGAGGAAGACGAAAGTACGCCGGCCGTGAAGAAGTCCCGCGCGAGCGTTGCGAGCAACTCTTCTCTCCGCGGCAGCCAGTCAGTTCCCATGCTGAGAGCGCTCGCATCGCTCCAGAATGGCGACTCGGCCCGCCGGCCTAGCGACGCTTCCGACACGGTTGCCCGCTTCGACATGTTTGCTGCGCAACGCGCGCTCCGAGAGTCGTTGGATGAAAATGGCGATTTATTGCCTCGGGCGGATTGGGAGGACGACATCGACTACTGCTACGACCACGAAGCCGAGGCGGACTGCGATTATGAATGGAGCCGCCCGTCGCTTGAGACGTGCAGGGACGGCGAAACGGCCACGCCCGTTGACCACCAAGGTCGAGGGGCCGATTCGTGCAGCGCATCGCCGGCAATGCTAACACCGGCGCAGTTTGACGTGCCGGCTCTGAGTCCCGCGAGTCAGCTTTCGCTGGCCACAGGGCAAGAAGCGATCACGCCGACCGTCGTCACGAACCCAAAGGCCTCCAACTTTTCCTTGCCCAGACTCGACTCTAAGAACCTCCTCCACATCCGGAAGTCATCGGATGCGTCGAGCTTCAAGGAGTCGCACGGTTTCACGCTGTCGCCATCTCTCCTGATCCCCCCGGACTTTCAGCAGCAGATGCTCGCCTGCGAGGCGGAAAGGCAAGAAGCCTCCGAGTTTGCATTCCGTCCTTCCGACGAACCCGAGCTGAACATGGATCCCTCAGCCCTCGTCCTTCAGTACCGCACTAGCGCTTCGACGACCGGCACCGCCGAGAGCAGCACCTCCGCGTTCGACAAGCACAACTCGACCGCCTCCTCTTCCACCGACTACACTCGCATGACGGCGAGTGTATCCTCGCTTGAGATGGAGACCTGCCCTCCGGCACCCGAGCCATTGCAGCGATTCCCATCCCTCGAGATGCCCAGCAAGGTTGAGGCCCAGAGCGCCTTGGCCACGCTCCCCGAGGTCGTGGCACCTAGCCGGCCGTTTGCCCGCCGCCCTCGCTTCAAGACACGCGGCAGCGAGTCCAACTTGCTGATGATGGGCGTGGACGAGCCTCACCCGGCCAAGGCCAGGCCATCGATCCTGACCCGCCGCGGGCGGGCGAGGACCACGAGCCTGAGCACTCCACCCCCATCCAACCAGTACGCGCTATTCCCGCAAGTCCAGCTTAGCGGCAACCGTATCTAAATACGTGTTCAATGTTGTCAACATCCCCGACAATTGTAACGACACACTCACCTAAAATACGCAACATGGCACCACACTTACCACTGGGCGGTGAATAAAACCCCCCCAACGACATCAGAGCATCACAAGCTCTGTCTCCACAAACTTCTCGTTTCCTGTCCTAAAACCTCCTGTCGTTGTCTTGATTAGCATCTGTCAGCGAAAATGGGGATCAAACTATAGACCTGGGATGGATTTTTGGTGCAGGCACGCACTAAAGGCTGGTGGCGCAAAACAAAACCTCTTATCTGGCTCTTTCTCTTTCCTACTTTTCCTTTTCATCCCTTCTCCAGGATCGACTTGTAGTCATTCTGTGTCAAATCACCACCTCACATTTCCTTCCCTGTTTTCAGGCGCCTCTGGTTTTCACTCGGGCCCTCGACCGATACCAAATCACTGTCCTTTCCTAGCTTGATCTTCCCTCGCCCAACCGGAACCAGGATTGTGGCACATTTGTACTGGGTTCGTCTGATAAAACAACCCACTCACCCTCGGACGTTGTCGTTTCCTTTTTTTGTTTCTTCCATTTCGTGTCTTATACTGTTTCTTGTCTCGGCCGGGTCGCATCGGGGCGGGTGACGATGCATTGCCCGTCACACTGGACGAGTACCGGCGTCGTTATTTGTCCATTTTTTTGTCAAGAGCGAGTTTGGTGGGAAGCTTCGATACAACAGCGGCAGCAGCATGGCCTAGGCGGTTGGGGGTTGGTTGGTTGGTTGGTGTATGGACGGATGGATGATTTTGTGGTACTTGGCCCGACGCCTGATCAAGCTCCTCCCGCTCGCCCGCTCGTCGACTGCGATTTTTTCTCTCGTCTCCGACCGGCCGATGCCGAATGGCTCGATTGATCTGGATTGGAAGTGGGGAGAATTGAGCAGCGCTCGAGCGGGTGGGTGGTGAGAGGTTGTGTTTTTTTGTGTGTTGTGAGGCCTGAGCTTCCGGGGAATGATGAGATGATGGACATGATTGAATGATGGGAACCAAAGGTTGCGGGTCACGAGGCGGTTTGGGGAGACTACCATGACCCCGGAAATATAGAAGGGACACGGAGAGTGAGAAAGTGAGAAACAAAAAATTTAAAGGAAACTATTACATAAATCGGCTGGGGTTTTGGTTCGGTTAGGCTTGACCTAGACTGTGGACAGGTCCAAGTCTCCGGGTTGGGGGTTGGGTGTTTGGTTAGGGGGTTTAGGTTTTAGGTATACAGGGTAGAAATGGAAATCCGGGATGGGGACGGCGAGGCCACTGCTGTTGATCTGCTTCCTCCGACTACACACACGGGTCCCCTCTTTTTTTTTTTTTTGACTCCGTTTGCTCGCGTTCAGTTGTGCCATTCTGTGATGAGGTGACTGGCTGGGCTGTTGGGGGAAAAGCAAGGTAGGTAGTGTTGTTGTGTTGTGCATATGCAGCGTCAGATGCACCTACAAATGGGGAGAGGTTATGTATGGAGGAGGTATGGGCGGGCGGATGTGGGTGTATGCATGCGGCTCGGCTGGGAGAGATGTGTCTCTGCTTACAGGCAGGTAGCTGCGGATGGATATCTGTATGAATAGAGAATAGACGATGGCTAGTTTTCCATTATCATTGTATTTTTCTTGAGGCCTCCTCGCTAGGATAGATTCACGGAATCCGGCCTGGAAAATAAGGAGTCCGGACTTGAAGGTCCAAGTTTCCGGATCAAGATGTGTGTTCTATGTGTGGTACCGTACAAAGTACACCACATACATCTAGTCAGTCAGTAGGTGTATAGAGAGGCAGTACCTCTCATCCCTGAGTTCAAAACATCGGAGTAGATCGTAGTGTAGACTGTGTTCTTTCGTGTCAGCGTGGGAGTCGTCCATCTCCCGATCGACCCATCTCATCTCCAAAACGCTGTAACGCTCCTGCAGCCCAGCACAGCCCAGTCTCTTTGCTTTATCATGCAGTGTATTTCTCGGCCTTTCTCCGTTCTGTCGGTACGTAATGTACGGTACTTGTGGACGGACGGCTGTTAAGGGGGGGCGGCCGCATATCATGCGGCCAGCTGCCGGCTGGTCGGGCCCCTTTAGTGGCTCGTGTGACCCGCGTCAGATTGTTGTTTTTACGCCCAGGTACTGATTGGCTCTTGGTTCTTGGTGTGTTTGGACAAGGTCGTTGGGGGGAAACTTCTTCCTTCAGGGGGCTGGGTTTCGTTTGTTGATGGGCACTCCGACTCGTTTCTTCGGCGTGCTTGGGCCCGACGGGCCTAGTTGTTGCTTATGAATCTTGTTATTGGCGTTGTCCTCGACGGGGGGCAAGTTCTCATGCGTCATCTGAGGTCTCCGATGCTCAACCTGGTCAAGCTGCGGAAGTGCGTTAGCGCTGCAGTAGTCTCGGTGTCTTGTTCAAAGGGGGGGGGGGGTGTGTTCAAAAATGCCATGGGGCCCGGGGGTTACCATCGTTTTGGAATCTTCTCCCGCTCTTCTTTTCTTCTTCTTCTTCCCGATCTTTCGTTTTACACTAAAAATGGGTCCACAGCGGATGTGCTGTCTCGGGTCTTCGGCAGTCCCGGGTTGGGCTCGCTCTCGGTGTGTTGGTGGCGAGTTTTCTCGACGACTAGCGAGGCTGATGTCTGAGAATGGGGGTTGACTAACGTTAGTGGATTTTCGGTCCCGGGAAAGGAAAGACAGGTCGGAAGCTAAGTTTTTTGGAGGTGTTACTCGATTCGGATGGGTTTGACAGGACTTTACGATGTAGAATCGATCGGAAAAGAAAAGGGGAGGCCCCGTGGAGGATGGATGGTAAAGCATTTTCGCCTTTCGGAACCGCGTCTATTAGCTATGGGTCCGTTATGGATATGCGCCCTAGCGACGGGAACTTATCCGTTTTTCTTCCTGGGCTTGTTGGATCTCCGTTTGGTTAACCGGCTGGGGATAATAACAGAAGCTTTGAGAAAGTCTCGCGTGGAGGTTGGGATGTCTATGGTTGGATTGCCGCTCGACTTTGCTTTGTTCAATGTTTTTTTAGTTGATGGAGAACCATCATGGAGAACCATCATGTCTGAAAACCACCAAAAATAGAGTGAAAGTCGATGTGGGAAACGCCAAAAACAAAAACTCCAACGGAAGAAACATTAGTGATCTTGGGTGCTCGTCGAAAAAAACTATCACCAAAAGAAGTCACAGAAAAAAAGGACCAAAATAGCAAAAGCTCACCACCCAGCCCTACTGTTATACCGGCCAGTAGAGGTAAATCTGATGGTTACGAAAAGTCCCAAGGCCTTAAGTATGTCAGCCGGGAACTTTTGCTTCGCGTTCGGTTCGAACCTATGCCCTCTTTCCTCACAGTCGTGCAATGAGGGCGGGTGCCTGCCAACTTTTCGACGCTCAAGACTTAACCCCGTCCCCGTCAGGGAATTGAATGATGCGACGCCTGAGCCAAACTCACCACCGGCGTGGTCGGTTTGTAGCCCCATTGGCAGGCGGGTTGGGAGCTGGGTCGTTGGACCTAATTATAGATAGTCTCGACGGGAGGGAAGGAAGGAGATGGATTTTTTAGCGAGATAGTTGGAGCCTGAGGACCTTCGTGAGGAACACGTTCGATACTGTCACTATCACTGAGTGTGATAGGAGTGGGCGCAACTGACCACTACGTAACATCTCCAAAAGAGGGACCATGGTTCGAACTGTCCGGTCGAACCAGGAGTTGCGCCCATGAATCTCACACACTATCTCAACCGTGACACCAAGAAACTCATAGACAACGCTCAAATGGAGTCAATTATACTTGTACACCGACCATCGATACACCGGCCATGGACCGTAAATAACCAAAGCCAAACCAGACGCCTTCCTACGCCGACCAAAACGCAAATCCCGGTATATGTAGCGGCATAGGACAGCTGACCCACAGCCGTCTCCTGAGCCTCCCCAAACGCCGTTGGACGCCGCCACCATTTGAACACTGACACCTTTCCTGTGTCCTTTCCACACATGCGCGCCCGTGGGGGCGTCCTGATGCTGAACCGATGATGTCGACCACGGGCATCCCGTCCTCTGCCCTCCACCGAGGACTGTTTCCACCAGAAGTCAAGCAAACTCGACCACAGCCACCGAAAAGAAAGAAACACACTGCTCACCGCAGTGATTACCTATGCGTATACCCCGAAGCAAAGAAGCCCCCAACCCAGGCCGCCAAGCAAAGACGCTTGAAAACAAGATTTGAACCCGGCAGTCCCCTAAAAAAGAATAGAAGAAAAAAGACATGGTGAAAGAAAAAAACATCAGCGCTACACCCACGCCGCAGCGCCCCAGAGCCCGCGTATCCTCCGGGCAAGCTGGATGTCCTTCTGCATAATCGTCACCCGCTTGGCGTGGATCGCACACAGGTTGGTATCCTCAAACAGATGCACCAGGAATGCCTCGGCCGACTCCTGTAACGCGAGAATCGCTTGCGATTGCCATCGTAGTTCTTCGCGCTCTGGCTGGTACTGGAGGGCGATTTCACGGACCTAGAAGGGAGTCGTTGTTAGTGGGGGTTGTTTAGGGGAGGCGTGGGACCGTCGGTCAAGGAGGGGTAGAGAGGGACCGGGGGGCCGGGACTAGGTAGGGATGAATGAACGTACCAAACGGGCGAAGGGGAGCTTGGACATGAGGAGGTCGGTGTTGGCTTGGTAGCGGCGGATTTCCTTTAGGGCGAGGGTGCCGGGGCGGTAGCGGCGCTTCTTGGTTTGCGGGATTGGGTCGCCTGCTATTGGGGGGGTCAACAAGTGAACTTCGGACAGGACTCAAGGTGGGACGAAACGAAGCGAAAGGAGCCACCACATACGTTGTACATCACTTTTCCTTTGCCGCTTTGCCGAAGCTGCGGCCACTGCTGATGGCCGACCGCGGGGTGAAGCCGCTGCCGCGCCGGAGGCTCGTTGCTTGGTCTTGGACTTGGTCGGCATTGTGGTTGGATTGGGGTACTGGTTTCAAGAATTTTGCGGGCGCAATTAGCGCAGTCGGACGAATGGCGCTGGTGAGTCGGTTATCCGGCGAAAATCGACCAAAGACCTGAGGTTGTGTAGCTTTGCGACGTCGACGATAGCTTAGCCACGTCCTAGCAATGAAAGCGGCGCAAATTGAATTGGCGAAGGAGAGATGCGGTATCGCAGAATGCTGGTATCGGGGAAAGAATGCTGGTAAGAGAGCACTTGGTTTCAACACAAAGTTTAACTCGATAGTTGGCAGAAAGTGGGAGAGAAATTGCTCTCAATTGGGGAGGTTGGGGAAGCTCTTGAGCTTCTCTCCCTTGGGAGACCCGCAGACGCGGGTCAGGCAATCTGAGCTCGCGAGACGCGTTAAGAACTGGCAGGGGTTTTAATGGGGTGGCTGGGCAAGGGACAAAAAGTGCACCAGCCACATGTTAGTGCATTGAGGAACAAGCTGTTCCTCAAAATTCGGGTAAATCGCTTAGTTGCATATGTGGCTAAGTGCCTTAACTGGCGTCATCGGGCGGGCCCTGGATGGCTTGCCGAACTCGCCGCCCTGTCTCGGCTCGCTAACATCCATCGCTGATAAACGATACGGCAGGGGAGAAAGGACACCTCACCCATCGCCGCATTCCATCTGCGCGCCCACACCCCACCAACAAAGCTTCAGCAAACTGTTGCTTCCCCAGTTAACTCTGGCGCAAATGCTCCCCGCCGCTCAAAGAGCTCCAACACCCTTAAACTACAAATTTCCAACTGCTCACTGCACCCTGCAACCTGGGAGTTCTCCCACCCTGCTGCACATCGCCTGCGGTTGATTTAGCTCCCCGAACTGGGCTGTATCGCACAGCGCCGGCATCCCGGACCGCATCGAACCCAAAGTAACAAGTTCAACCCCCCGACATCAAAAGTAGCGACCACGGCGCCACCATGGACCAAATAATGGGAGGCGGCGAAGGAGGGTTCCCGCTCGAGACGTGGTTTTGGGAGATGCCGTTCTGTACGCGCTGGTGGACAACGGCGACGGTCCTGACGAGTGGACTAGTGCAGTGCCAGCTTGTTACGCCGTTCCAGCTCTTCTACAGCTACCGAACAGTATTCCAGAAGTCAGAGGTGAGTTTTGGCTCTAAATTCCCGTTAGCCCGACAGCTCCGACTGCCGCAGGCGTCACACAACTACACAAGCCGGCCGCATTAGAGAAGAGGGAACAAAGAGCTAAATCATATAACCCCGGCAGTACTGGCGTCTCCTCACGACCTTCCTCTACTTCGGCCCCATCTCCATCGACCTCCTCTTCCACGTATATTTCCTCCAGCGCTACGCCCGGCTGCTCGAAGAGTCCTCGGGCCGGTCGCCCGCCTACTTCTCCTGGCTACTCGTCTACGCCATGACCAGCCTCCTGCTCCTCTCCCCGTTCGTCTCGATGCCCTTCCTCGGCCACCCGCTGTCCTCTACGATGGTGTACATCTGGTCGCGCCGCAACCCGGACACGTTGATGAGCTTCTTGGGGCTGCTTGTCTTCCGCGCGCCCTACCTGCCGTGGGTGCTGATGGGGATTAGCTTTGTGCTGCATGGCACCGTGCCCAAGGATGAGCTTATGGGGGTCATTATTGGACATGTGTGGTACTTTTTTAATGATGTGTACCCACCGCTGCATGGGGGGTCCCGACCGCTGGATCCGCCCATGTTTTGGCGCCGGTTGTTTGGTGAGTTAGTCCCTTCAGGTTAGGTGTTTATGTGATTGAGCTCAAGGCTAACTCGCCATTGCAGAAGGACGACCCCGCGAGGAGACAGCCAACGGCATCAATAACGAGATCGCCATGGCTGGGGCTGAATTCCCACCACCAGAGGTACGGTAAATGATTGGGGAAGAGATGCGATGTACGATGGTTCAGCACTTGGCGAAGCAGGCGGGTTTTTCTTTGATGACAACTTCAGTGCTGGGTGCTCGGCGTTGAAGGATGGGCAAACAGTACACGGCGCATTTGGGGGTCTTGCATACAACATGGGCGTTTTGGTTTTGACTTGAAAGGGAAGAGATGATCCAAATGAGAATCAAGGCATCCGCGGGAAAGGAGGAGCAGCTGCATAGGAGGGACAAAGAGCACAAGCGAGCGAAACAATCGAGCAGATGCAGGCAGCAAACAGTCTGCAAAACGAGCTAGACAGGCTTAGAAAGTATCGATCTAAATAACGCTTCGAATTTTCGAACTGAAAGATCCACCCCTGAAAACTTGATAAACGCTCACTTCGCAACATATCACTCATCCATTCATTCATCTAGGCGGCCAAGAACTGCGACACGTACTCCTGGCGGAAAGGGTTTGCGTCCAACTCCCCAGACCGGTTCAGAGGCGTCCACTTAGGTTCCTCCTTGAAGAGGCGCATGGCCTGGATGTACTGAGCGAGTGGCCGTGTTAGCTAACCCTCCGGTGACCAAGTGTACCAGATAACCAAGGGAAACTAAAGAAGAAGAAAAGAAAAAGAAGAAACTCACGTTATCCTCATCAGTCGTAAACCGATGATAAATGCCCGCCGGCAAAATAATCAAATCGTCCTTCTCCAGCGCAATGCGCACCCACCGATCCCCCTTATCACGCACGTCAAAGTAACCCCTCCCGTCGCGCACATAGCGGATCTCCTCGTCCTCGTGCAGGTGCTCGTCAAAGAAGGACTTCACTTTGGCCTCGTAGATGTCGCCCATGCGCTCCGGGGAGACTGTGATCTCGTCGCGGTTCTTGTACCCGCGCTCCGCGGCCAGGGCGTCGACGCCTGCGATGGAGGAGATGTGGAAGTAGAGCACGCCGAGTGAGGAGAGGTCGGATTCGGAGAGCGGGGAGGAGGCGCTGGTGGCGTCGTGGGGGAGACGTTGGTCGCCCTGGGGATGGGTTAGACTCGGTTTGTCAGGGGTCGGTTGCCCGCGAGCGAGCTTTATATTTTCTTATTCCGTCGTCGCGGTTCTTTTACTTTATGGGTCAAGATTTCAACAGGTCCGTAAAACTTACCGGGAGGTTGTCGTAAAAGTAGGCCTTCATTTTGGCAAATCAAGTTTTCAACGTTGATATGAGTTGAGGGTTTTGGAGTTTGGGGGTTGTGAGTTGAGGTTTAATCACATTTGAGATGAAGCAAACCAGGGCGGGGCTCACAGCTTAAATCTGGTGGTGAGGGGCACTTTCACACATCCCGTGGCACCCCTGCGAGCCTCTTCTCCAGCAAGCCAGCTGCCTAACCATGCTCACTTCCAGCGCAGCAAGATCCCCCAATTGGGTTACTCAGCCGTGGCACGGTCACCCTGCAAAGTCATACAGCCAGGAGCGTATTGGGCAAAGAGCTCGAAATTCAAGGCGTCCCTCATGCAAAGCCCCACCGTTGTTAACGTTATCCCCGAGATCAGCGGAAACCGAGGGCAAAAAGGTGAGATTTCGAGGTTTGTTGGATCCGTCTGTTCCGGGTCATCGACAAAACTGTCTGGTGAATTGCGCCATTCCGGCCCGGGGAGAGACCGGGAACAGGGATGACGACGCCAAGGAATTGCCGGTGTAAGTGATGTCACGTGATACCCCTAAACGGGACCACCAAGGTATGAGTTCCCCAATTTCACCCTAAAATCCCCCTTTCTTCACCCAAATATACAGCAAATCCTACTCCTTCGAACCAAAAACCCCCAGCCTCCTTACCACCCCCTCCCACGTCTCACCACCCCGCTCCCCCTCACCACCCTCCACCAACAACCCCCTAATAACCCTCACAACCTCCTCCTCCGTCCCCCTTACCTGCACCATCCCATCTCTCTCCCTCAGCGTAACCGACCCATCACGCAACGACTCAAAGTCAACCGTAACACCCAACAGCGTGCCAAGCTCGTCGTTACGCGCATACCGTTTGCCGATGGACGCGCTGGACGCGTCGATGACGTTGGCGATGCCGAGACGGCGGAGGCGGGCGGAGAGTTGCTGGGCGAGGTGGAGGAGGGGGGGGTGTGTGGAGAGGGGGGCGATGAGGACTTTGGTTGGGGCGAGGGGGGAGGGGAGGGAGAGGACCTAGGGGGAGTGTGTGAGTATACTATGTGGGTATGGGGGAAAAGAAAAAAAGGGGATTACTTACGGCTCTTGCGGGGTCGTCGGGACGGTTCCAGTAGACGTGTTCTAAGAGACAGTAGAGGATGCGGCCGATACCGAAGGATGGTTCGATCACGTTAGGGGTGTACTCGTGTGTGGTTTGGAGGCGGGTGATTTTGGAGATGGAGAGCAACTCGTTGGAAAGCTGGACGCTCGTGGAGTGATCCGACAAGGGCGGGGTCTTGAGGGTTACTGAGCCTGTCTCCTCTAATTTGGCAGCCAGTTGCTCCAACGCCAGCTGGTCTAGAGCATAGAGCGCCGACTCAATCGTCTTGAAATCCTTCTTGAACAAAGGGCCCAGACGCTTCTTGTCGAGGACACCCTCCCATTTCTCAACCGTAATCGGCTCAGTTAGCGTCCCCTTGACGACCAGTGGCGTGCCGGTATACGCCGAGTGCACCGTCAAGTCGTACGCGCTTCGATCAGCACAACCCACACACTCGATCCAGCCGTAACTGGTGAGTAGTTCGGCGTCCCAACAGTCAGTCGCGTAGTGCGCGATCTCGTTGGCCAAATGCTGCCGGAACCGGATCTTGGACCGGTCCGCGCCGAGCCGGAGAAGGAACAGAAAGATCCTACCGAGGAAGTAACCCAGCGTTTCGTTGTCGATGGTCTTCGCCGCAACCGCATCCGCTATCGACACGGTCCGCGGCGTGGTCTGGCCGGATAACTGGGTGTCCCGGTCCAGCAGCGGTAGCTCCAAGGTGCTGACCTCGCCAAAGCGAGGGTGCTGCTTCTTCTTGGGATCGACATAGTGCTCAATCTCGGCGAGGACGAACTCGCGTACGCGCAGCAGACCAGTCCGGGGGGAGATCTCGTTGCGGTACGACTTGCCGATGCTGGCTGAGGCGAAGGGCATGGCGCCCTGGTTGTAGTCGAGCAGTTTCTTGAAGTTGAGGAATTGGCCCTGGGCGGTTTCGGGGCGTAGATAGACGGGGGCGGCAGCGCTGGGGCCGATGGTGGAGCGGAACATGAGGTTGAAGGGGACAGGTGGGAGGACCAGGTTGTTGTTTTCGGGGTTTCGGATATCGTGGCGTTGGATGAGATCGGTGAGGCCGTCGCCGTCGTAGCTGTCAATCTGGAAGAGGATTCTTTGAGTTACAGCCCCAACCTTTTTACCCTTGTGGTACATGACTAGACGGTAAAGTCAGGAATTCAAGGGGCCTAACGAGCCTCACCTTGGCTAATATGTCGTTGTACTTATCAATTGTGGTCTGGTCCAATTTGGGTGAATCTTTCACAAGGCCACGAGTACCTCGAGCTAGCCTCGCCTGGAGAACGTTTTCGACGAGATGGTCCGCCCTTAGATAGTCACCTAGACTTCATATTAAAACGCCAGGTCCCTCCTAAAGAAGTCTTTCAAAGGCAATGAAATAATCAGTCTACCCTTTATAGGATCTTTGCACATCCAATCGGCAAATTTATCTACATGGCCACTCGTTTGAAGCACAGTTTCCGGGGTGATCACCGTACAATCCACCTCCAGCATGTTTTCTTCAAGCACAAAATGCTTTCTCCAAGTGTCCACGATGTTGGCCTGCAGGGCACAGCCGGGAGGGCCATAGTCAAAAAGGCCGCGATTGTCGCCTTTGAAGTTTGGAGAGAGTCGATAGATCTCAAAGGCCTCGGTAAAGAAGAAACGGCGCTTCAGGACGGATTCGAAGAGCTGGCGGTCGAAACGGTCGCCCTTGAGGGTTGTTGTGGAGGTCATGTTGGGCTGTGGGTGACTCAATTAACCTACAAATGTTCAATTGGGTGCCGAAATAAGAATTGGGAGATGTTCGATGGAGGTTCAGTGAGTTTTATAAAAGAAGTGAACCGACGAAGCCACTAAGACGTGAGGAGGCAGTGCTCGTGACTCATTGGTGACTCTCAGGCCCATTCCAGAAGTTGTTGGCGCTTGTTTCGGCGTGTTCTTCATTTTGCCCGTTTAGGAAGTTCCCATAGCAACTACTCGCTTTCAATCCGAGGCACTCAGTAACGATTGAATCTCATCTTCTAGTTCATACTCGCCTTTGTACCGCACGAATCTGGAGATTCCGGTCTAATAACGTTATTTTACTAGGTACCTAGGTACATACCGGCGTTCCGTCAAACCAACGACATGCTGTGAACCAACGACAAGAACCAACAACATGAAGAGCCTGACCACCCCCACAAACAAACATATCCCTTGCTAAGGTTCATTGCCATCCCGCACCACCGAACATCACCGTCATACCCCATCACCACCAACCTCGTCCCATACAATGGCCGACCGCGACGTGGTTCCGGACGAGAACCTACTCCAGCATATCTTCGCCAACAACCAGCCCTCTTCAACATCAATCATCCTCCAAACCTGGGACAAGTGCATATTCACCGCCATCTTCCCAAATCCCCTCAAAAACGGTCAACATTCATGCATAGTTCGGTTAGAGGCCCGAAATGGCGAGTCTACCCCCATGCAAGAAATCGCTGCCACCTACATTCCCGGCCTTGTCCTCGAGACTCTCCAAGTCGGCAGCGCAAGCAACGAACAAGGGAGGGAATTCGAGTTTTGTGTTATGGAGTTTGTTGAAGGAATCACCTTGCAGGAAGCTTGGGATAAAATGACTGGCGAGGACCGGATATCTGTCACCGCCGAAGTTGTCGAGGCTTTGTCGAAGCTGCATTCTGTGCGACTGTCTGACGCCAAAGTCCAAACGATTCTGCGTCGGGTACTTGGTGAAGGAGGTGACGAGGTTCTTGAGAAGGCGGTTATCGGGGGGCTCTCAACGGGACTTTTGAACGATGGGCCCGCTTTGCTGTCTGCTATCGAGGAGAGGCGGAAGTTGAAGAAGCCTTTCTACGCCATTCAACCACTCGAGAATCCAAAGGGACTTGTAATCGAGTCCAGTTTTGAAGATATTGGCTCAACCACAGTCAGTGATGCAGACATGGAGCAATAGCCGAAAGAAGCGGTATTCTGCCACAACGATCTTACGCCTCGCAATCTAATCCTCCAGTCCAGTGAAGGCCCCGGCGGAGATATGAAATACAAGCTTGTCGCCATCATCGACTGGGAACTTGCTGGCTTCTACCCTCCATCGTATCAGCTGAGCCTACAAGATACGTATCTAAGCGGCGGTAATCAACATCTTTCGTTCTACTTGCTACTCAAAGAACGAATGAAGGACACCGTTCCTGCATCTCCGTCGCAGGTTGCCCTCTTGCGAGCCATGGAGCTTATCTTTGAGTCGCAGCAGCGGAGGTTATGAGAGGGCATGAACGTCCCCGCCAATATTCGAAAGAGGTTTAGGGAGATGCTGCGGTTGTCCCGGGACGAGCATCCGTATGTGGGCTGGAAATGCGACACAGAGGGGGGAGCATTCCCCGAGCTCTCGCGGGCTGATGCTGAGCAACTAGAGGATGATGTTATTGAAGAGATGGAGAAGAGAAGAGAAGCAAAAGCTAAGCTAGGTTAGTTTTACCTGTGAGACTTTCGGCACTCTTTTATCACAAGTATATAGAGTACTGGGGAAAGATCGAGGGCTAAGATGGAGGCCGGAAGTAATGACCAGTCTCAGAATTGGGATCCTTTGATGCTGGACGTTGTGTGAACGTAGCGGTGGACAGAAGTACTCGCCTCGACTAAGTGGGTTAAGTATAGAGGAACACGGCCACGGAATCGTAGCTAAGTGCTGTCGTACCTTAGGTTGTTTCCCTCTCTAACCCTGCTACTTAGGTTAGAATCTGTGTTGCCGTACTTGCCAATTCTAGGGAAATAGCATTGGCCCCGAATCCCGGAGTGGAACTTGGGTGGTATTTTGATCTTGCCTTCTTAGGTTGTTTCTAGTTTCGACCATCACAAACGCCGTTTACCACGGTAATCATTTTCTTCGTTCTTCACACTTCTATCGCGATCGATTAAATCTGCAACGCAACGGTAATCAGTGTCCTTCACGTATGTCCCCCTTACCCGAATTAACTCGGTTCTTGGTTAACCCGGGGCCGCTGTTCTCTCTTCCGTTCGATTTCTTGTAGAGTCGCGTCGTTCTAACACTCCAGATCGCATTAGGCACGATACCAAATCGAGGAGTACTTGACTTCGAGCTGCCATCTCTCAGCATTCCAAAAAGCGGCTGATCGCCACCCTCAAGCACTTTACCACAACGACCTTCTTTCGGGCAACCTCCCGAGTTTACGATGGCTTACTTCCTACTCAAGAGGGGCGTTGGAATGTGCCACACAGCCATTACAAGGCTTGGAGCATTTCAACTGCCACTGCGAGGACGAGACGAGATATCGGCCTTGCCCATCAGGAGCTTGGCTACCTTAGGTACTCTATCGGTATCTCAGAGAGCCAGGACGTGCCCCGTCCCGACTAGGCCCAGCGCCACTGTCAGATCATTCCACGCCAGCACAGTGGTATATGAGCGCAACTGCGACTATGGCAGACCTTGCACTTGTATCGAATGCATGGAACACGGAAGGAACCCTCTCTGCGGGGTCTGCAGGGTCAAACCTGCTGTGCGTCAAGTTACGGCGTTAAACGTCCTGATGTTACGCCGACACTACGAGCTAATCGTTACTTCATTCTGCGAGGGATGTTATGAAAAACTAGGGGAAGAGGAACGAATGACAGAAGATATAGAGGGCGACAATGAGGAAAAAAAAAAAAGATACGAGTGCAAAAGCTCGCCATGGCCCACGATCTAGCGAGGTTGAGAGAGTTGAGTAAGCTGATGGAACATATCAAGAGCCTGCCGCCCGGAAAGCTAGTTCCGGTTCGCTACGCTGTCCAGAAGTTTGTCGGGGAAGAAGGATTCCAGAACGATGAGAAACAGTACCGGCAATGCCTTTTTCGCGAACTGTCTCAGGAATTACGAATTGTGAAAGTCGGACGGAGGTACATGTGTGATAAGGAGCGAGTTGACGCGATGGACTTCGATTTATGGATCCTCCATCGGTCGATGTTCGGTGTGGATGACAACATAATCGAATCCACTGAGTTTATTTAGGGCACTTCAATGTAGGGTAACTGCCTGACATCACCATGTCGGTGGCTGTCACTGGTAAGATTTGCAATGTGTAGGTAGTTGAGGTTATAATCTGGTGGGAGGGAGGATAAACGGTGAAGGCGAGCCAGATTTGGCATTCAGGACTGCAAAACAAGGAATTTTTTCCCAAAACGGCACAGTAGGCACATCTAATATTCCGATGTAGGAAGAACGAAAAAAAAAAAAAAAACAGTAAACCAGCATCCTGTGAACATTCTAAGCTCATTTGTAGTTGCCTCCTAGCACACTAAGGTATCATGACTGGTGGTCGATATTGCGGAGAATCCATCAGATCCCTGCTAAAGTTACCTACCTGTATGCTTGGTGTCCCCCCGCTCGACCCCTCCACAACCAACCTCAACAACCACAAGACACACCCGCTTTTGTGCAATCCGCCTCAATCACCTAGTATAATGAGGCGAACCATCATATCATGACCAATATTCGCCCCCTGTGATGTTGGATGGTTAAATCATCAATGCGCTGCACTCCGGCTAATGAGCAGAGAATATCCCCCCGGAAGGGTTAAATCGAGACAACACCTCATCGGCTACACGCACATACTCATTCATCCCCCCATGCTTGAGATGATACTCCACCGTTGGAGATAACGACCCACGATGGATTCACGAGAAACTCAAGAAGCGGCATCTACCGCTACGCCCGATGCGTCTCGGATGAAGCTTCAGCTCCCAGCGAGCTGCGACCCTCCACAACCGGGAGCGTCCGTCAAGCCGCTGGTCTGGATTGTTCGTCGCTCTCTCTCTCTTGTGACTACCCCCCAAGACCACATTTGCTAACTGTCATATATTATCTAGGTATTCGGAGGCACCGGCCACATGGGCCGTTCCCTCGTCAAGTGCGCCCTCGCCCACGGCGATTCCGTTACCACAGTCGGGCGGGTCCTCGAGACCAGCCCCGAAGCCATCGCCTCACTCAACAGCGACACCTGCCTCGGCCAGCTCTGCGACGTGCGCGACAGCGCCTCCGTCGCACGCGTCATCGAGCACACGCTCGACCGCTTCGGCCGCATCGACTGCATCGCCAATTGCTCCGGGTACGGCGTGATCGGCGCGTGCGAGGACCAGGACGAGCACGACGTGCGCAACCAGTTCGAAACCAACTTCATGGGCACCCTGCATATCGTGCAGGCCAGTCTGCCCTACTTCCGTCAGCAAAACGGCGGCCGCTACCTAATCTTCAGCTCCACCTCCGGCGCGCTGGGCGTGCCGGGTTTGGGCCCCTATTGCGCAACCAAGTACGCGGTTGAGGGTTTGATCGAGGCGATGTTGTATGAAGTGGACGTGTTTAACATCCGCGCGACGCTGGTGGAGCCCGGGCTGGTGCGCCGCGATGAACCGGACTCCAAGACCAACCCGCTGCCGACCTGGGGCCATTTTCTGATCAAGCCGGCGAGCGAGGCGTATTCGCACGCAACCTCGCCCGCGCTGCATGCGAAGCGGATGGTACAGTGGCTTGGTGACCGGCAGCCGACCAGCGCTGTCAAGTGTGCCGAGTTGGTCTGGCAGCTGGGCCACTGCTCGTACCCGCCGCTACGCTTGCTGCTGGGGAGTTATGCTATTGAGAGTATCCGTGACCGGTTGCGGTCGGTTACGGAGGAGTTGGAGGATTGGAAGCACCTGAATTACCCGGCCGCTCCGGATGCGCCCGGCGGTGATGATAAGGGGGAGAAGGCAGAGCGCGATGAGAAGAGTGGTAGGGAAGATCAGGGGGGTGCGGAGGAAAAGGACGATGGTGGTGGTGAAGAAGAAGAGGAAAAGGACGAGGTTATGGGAGAGGGAGAGGGAGAGGCTGATGGAGATGGTGAGAAAGAAAAAAGGCGGGAAAATGACGATGCTATGGAGGGGGTCACTTCTGATGCTAATGAAGGCGGGGAGATTGTGGTAATGGAGACAACGCCTGGAAGGTGAGTTTGACCGGAGTTTCTTGGTCGCCGTCAGGATTGGATCATGTTATCTGATGAGGCTCATCCATCTTGATACTGTGGTATAAATATTTTGATAGTGAAAATACCGACGTCTAAGACGGCCCTAGTTACTGCCACTTGACCTACCACTCGACCGCAAGTAATTTACGATTGATCATCTAAGATCACTCTATTTCGGTTAGTGCCTTGAAAATAAATAAAGAAATGTAAACCCACGATTCATCAAGATCAGTCGACAACATCGTGGTCAGTGTGATGGAAAATGAGAGAAATTGAAACACAGGCGATAATGTGATTGGCAATGCGGTTAACGTGGTCGACAATGGGATGGACTATGTGAAAATGGTGCAAGTTGTGAGAGCGGTTTGGCATCCCCTTCTCTTGCCGTCCTCTCCATCGGACGACTAGCATTGCTTGGATGGCATTGCTTTCGCCCAACCTCGCCTTTCCAGACACTACAATGGTCTTGCCATGACCCAATGGCCCGACTGGCTGAGTTGTTTAATCCATTGGTGAACACGCCGCTGTGACCTTTCACCGTGTTTAAGTTTTGAAGGCTCGTTTACTGGGGGACGAGCTTGATATATGGGGCTTTATTAGAGCGCGACCACTGTCATTCTGGGATTCTGTTATCTGTAGTCTCTCTATCCCGTAAGTGTTGATCGAACAACTTAACGGGGGAGCGGCGTCCCGATTAAAAGATTCTAGAATGCAAACAAGCATTTTCCCGTGACAGACCCACCCAGACCGCCCCACATACCAGGGCCAAGCCGAATTCAGGGGAGCCGGGGGCCAGCCAGGGGAGGGCCATGGAGCACTGGTTTCGAGTTTCTTTGGCCAATTTACCAAGATTTCCACTCCTCGTCCCGTCTCTTCAACTCCGCCCCCGACACGCGTTCTCGCCCCGTCCGACCGTCTCGACCGCCACGATAATATCCCACCCTACTTTCTTTGTTCGCTTTATATCGGGCGACAAGAGAGTTCCTGAGTTGGGTTTCGTTGGTTATTTCGCTTTGCGCTCTCCCACGCAAACACGAGCCGCTGCGCCCGCTTGCGCCACATCCCGATCGCTAGTTTATCCTCCCCCCGCCGCGCTTGTGCTAAGGAACGGATAACCTCGTCGGTCCATCTGTTCCTCTGCGAGCAGGTCACACGAGACTCCCGTTTCTGGAGAGATAGAGCAGACGCTTACCTCTGCCGCACCGCTTGATTTGGTGGCTGCACACTCGTCGCTCGTTTATCTTGTTTCTGCCGGGTTTTTATCAGTTGTACACCGAAAGCCGGAATCGAACTACACACCGATAAACCACCATGTCCAACAAAAAGAACGAAGATATCGAGATGCGGGCCGTGGATGGCGGTAACGAGTTCGCGGCCGAGAAAGACCCCTTCCTCGGCCGGAGTTCTCCCATACCATCTCGCTCTCGTGGCGGTAGCCAACCCCCGGTTTCGATCGACAAGATCACCAACAGCCCGCTCGCGTCTATCTTGGCCTACTGCCTGTCGTCTATCAGCATGACGGTTGTGAACAAATACGTCGTGTCCGGGTCGGCGTGGAACTTGAATTTCTTCTATCTTGCTGTTCAGGTGGGTAGTCCCTTTTTATCTTGAAGGGGGGTAGAGGGATAAGATAATAGAGGGATAGGGGGAGAAAGGGACAAACAACCATGAACAATAGGTTACTGACTGTGTCTAGTCGCTTGTTTGCACTACTGCGATTCTCCTTTGCAAGCACACCGGGCTCTTGAAGAACCTGGCGCCATTTGACTCGACCAAAGCCAAGAGATGTGCGTGTTACCAATTACTGTGAAGGACTCGACAAGTTTGACTGACAAGATTTTGTCTTCAGGGTTCCCCGTTTCTCTCCTCCTCGTCGGCATGATTTACACCGGCGCCAAGGCGCTCCAGTACCTCTCGGTCCCGGTATACACGATCTTCAAGAACTTGACCATCATTGTGATCGCTTACGGCGAGGTCCTCTGGTTCGGCGGTAGTGTGACCCCGCTCGCGCTTCTCTCGTTCGGCCTGATGGTGCTGAGCTCTGTGGTCGCTGCGTGGGCTGATATCCAGGCCGCTATCGATGGCGCCCACTCTGCTGAGACTTCGGCTGCCCTTGCGACCTTGAACACTGGATATGCGTGGATGGGCATGAACGTCGTCTGTACCTCGTCGTACATTCTCGGCATGCGCAAGGTCATCAAGAAGATGAACTTCAAGGACTACGACTGTATGCTTGTGTTGCTCTAGCTTGGAAAGGATATTTTTGCTGACCTTTTTTTTAGCCATGTTCTACAACAACCTCCTCACCGTTCCCGTGCTCGTCGTCTGCTCCCTTTTGGTCGAGGACTGGTCGTCCGAAAACCTGGCCCGCAACTTCCCCGAGGAGACCCGCAACAAGCTGATGATTGGCATGATCTACTCGGGTCTGGCCGCCATCTTCATCTCATACTGCTCGGCCTGGTGTATCCGCGTGACCTCGTCGACGACTTACTCGATGGTCGGCGCCCTCAACAAGCTCCCGATCGCCGTCAGCGGGCTCATCTTCTTCGACGCGCCCATCACTTTCGGCAGTGTCAGCGCCATCTTCATCGGCTTCGTCAGCGGTCTCGTCTTCGCCTGGGCCAAGGTCCGCCAAAAGGCCCAGGAGGCCGGCATCCTGCCCACCAGCAACAAGCCCACGATGAGCGCCAGCGCACAGAGCAACCGGGACGCCAACTCTTGAGCGGAACGTGTCCGTGTCCGCGTCTAGCTTCCAGGCCTCTTGCATCGATATTCGCTACTTCGACGGAGTCCCGACGGCAAACCCCCCCCCCCCCTGCGATTCAGTATCCCGCACCCAACCAACCCTAGGGAGACTCACAGACAGACGCCCGAGTGCTCCGAAGCGGCGGCCAAACATATTTGCTACAGCCCGATTCACAACGCTTCCCCGCCCCTCTTCTTGTAAATCACTTTTTATTGACTCCCTCTCCGAGCCGGTTTTACCTTTTACACCATTATAGTCAACGATCTACCTTTCAAACATAGAAGCTCTGGCACGCAGTACTGGGAGACAAAAAGGGGGGATTATTGGCTTCCTTTTTCTTCTCTTCTACTTTTTCTCCTTCCCTTTTTTCTTTTTACTTTTTTTACTTTTAAAAAGACATAAACGCGCGCATGACTGGCGTTTCTGGGGTTGTCCAACGAATGGATGGATGTATGGATGGACGGACGGACGGATGTCAAATCGGTTCCAGCGAGGACGAGGCTTGCTCTTGGCTTTTTTGGAGTTTTCGAGTTTCGCTCGTTGGAGTCCGAGTCGGCGGGAGGGCGATGGCAACAAATATTGATTGGGATTCTTTCATGGTGTGGGTGGGTGGGTATGGGGTGAAGGATAAGGGGAAGATGACATGTGTGACTGGAAGCAGTCGGTGGTTGTTGTCTGGTTTGGGTTTGGTCGGGTAGTTTTTTGACTGGGTAAGTAGAATAGTAATGTAACATGATGGATCAAGTCAGTATGATTTTTGGAATTGTTTGATGGTGTGATGTGCATGTGCAATGGGGGTTACAGATGTAGAATGTGACTGTTGTTGTTACATAGTATCATTGTGACTTGGCATTAGGTATTACCTGTCCTATTGGTATTGTACACACACACCCCGACAACCCGATCGAATCAAGCCGTCCAAAGGCCCCTTTTCTACGCTGTCGATATGAATACCCTCCTCTCCTAAACCATCATCATCCTATTCTTCTTCGCTTCACGCCACACTATCGCCCTGCCAAGATGTCGTCGAGACAAACAACAACCCGTCTAAACCAACCAAACCTATCTGTTCAAAAAGCAGAACTCGGCACCAACGCATTCCCACTCTCACTCAACGTCCACAGATTTCGATACCACCCCACCGCGCCGCCCACAAGCAGCGTGTAATACGCCACCGTCCACAGAATACTCGGTCGACTCCGTACTCTCGAGAATGTCCTCCCCGTAGCCGGGCCTGGGCCCGTGTCATTGCCAGTGTCCGTAGCACCATACCCTTCCCCCGCATTACCTCCATCACCCCCAGCACCAGCATCCCCACCCGCCAAAACCGGCACACCAGCGCCCGTCACGGGCCCCTCCTCCTCCTCCTCCTCATATATCACCTCCGGCTCAACCCTCCCCCGAACCTGCGGCAAACCCATACAATTACAAAACGCATGCACCGCGCACACAGCCACGAGCGAGCCCGTGCGGAGAAACAGAAAAGTAGCATACGCGCCGAACAGCGTGGTGTAAGCGAACTGGAAGGCAGAGCGGATCAGGGCGTGCGCGATGGGAACGTGTGGGTGGGTGAAGCGGAACTCGTAGAAGTGGTGGACGTGGGCGAGGCCGAAGAGGATGGGGGTTAGGAAGATGATTTTTGTTGGTGAGAGGGAGGGGGATCCCGAGGGAGAGGGGGAGGAGAGGAGGGCGAGGGGGATGGAGGCGGTGCGGAAGAGGATTTCTTCTGTTATGGGGCCCTGTTGGGAGGGGATATTAGTACGTGATTGCTCAACTTAGATGGGAAAGGGGGATAGATAAACATACGGCAACGATATTCCTGAACGTTGTCCATTCCCCCCAGACCTCCGTCACCGGCGCCAGCCGCGCCCAGTCCTTCCATCCCCGGTCCACCAACAAATAACTATACAACGGCCCAGCAAACAACACAGCCGTTAACCCCACAGCCCGCACCGTCTCCCAGACGCCCACAGGCCACAGACCCATCAGATGCAGCGCATCTTTCCCACTCACGGCCTTCCCCCCATCTCCACCCCCATTCCCCGCGCGCAAGAGCACGAAAAAAGTCACGACGCTGCAAGTCAGACACGAGAGCGTGACGGAACGGATGCGGGCGCGGATGACGGAGGGGGCGTCGCGTGAGAGGGTGAAGGAGGGCCGGGTGGTGCGGGATAGGTAGAAGGGGACGAAGTAGCCGAGGGCGTAGAGGATGAGGAGGGTGTAGGCTGTTGAGGCGGGGAGTGAGGGGAGCGGTGGTGGGGGGTCTGGGAGCATTGGTTAGATGTGGTTATTATGGAGATGTGGTTTGATGAGATTTGGGGGAGGTTAAGGGGGGGTTGTGTGTGTGAGTTAGGTGGGAAGTGAGTGAGTGAGTGGGCGGGTGAGTGAGTGAACGCAGGGTGTGAGTGAGGAATGGACCATCCTGACGATACTTCGGAGAAGAAGCACGTGGTGGTGAGATCTAGGACGAGACGCTGTGGAATCTCGAATGTGGAACGATGCAACAAAAGATGCTAGAGGGTACAGAAAACACTCACCCTTGTGCCAGGGATTAAGCCTGCGCAGAGCATCCGTGATGGCAGGCATCTCGACAGAAGACCAAAAAGACCAAACGAAACCTGAAACCCTCCTCGACGACAGGCGTCGTTTCGTTGCGAGTCAGTCCGCAGCGAACAAGGTCACAATCTAGGGTGGTGGCGGTCCCGCCCTTTGCCCCCTTGCTTAGACGCCGTCTGAGGAAGCGCGAGCGCGTGCCGGCGGCTGGCCGTCGATAGCGTTGGACGAATCCAGAGTTCTGTCCGATTATCACCGTCGAGCGGTTGTGTTGCAACTGGCAAGCGAGTGCCACGGGAGAACGGCCGCGGGATTGGGCCGTTTCAGCGAGTCGTCCACTGTCGAGTTCGGGATCGGCGGCTGCTTCCGGGGCCCCACTGCTCTGGACCTTCGAATTCCTGAAATGGTGAAATGTTCCTATTCTTGGATTTTGCGGGTTGAGAAGTCGAAAAAATGAGGTCTCTCGAATTTTGCCGGAGTGGTTCTTGTAGAAATGATGATGATGATGATGGCAAGTAAGGGGAAGCTTTGCACAAAGCAACAATCGCATTAACTATTGTTAGCTGAGCAAGCTGAGGTCACGGCTTTGTTCCCCTGGCTGGCGGGGTACTGCCGCGGAAGGTTCTCCAACGGGCAGCATTGGCCGCTCTCATCCCTTGCATTCTCTCATCTGGGCATTTCCAAACATCTCATTGTGCCAATTCAGGACAATTCTTGACTCGAATCAAAACAGGACTCTACACTACGAATACTGCGTCGCTTACCCCCCTTTACGGCACGTGGTGGACTCACGCCGGTCGACAAATCGGAACCAGACTAAAATCACGTTTGTGGCAATTCAAGGAGGTCCATCTTCAGCCGAGTAACACCTTTTTGGCGATATCTGGTTGGAGAACCTCCCCTTTTCGCCGCATGCAGACCAGAGTAGGCAGAACTCGGGATTAAAAAGGCGCGAATCAGAGACGCGTGCGCCGTTGTGCGACAGCAGAAGAGCGTGTCGGTTTCGCGCAGCAGCTCTCAAGTTTTAATTACCTACCGACTCGTGGGCGCCATACACTGCAGCTGGTGCTGCCGGTCGTCGGACGAGCCGCCCACTCGTTTACCATCGCTGCTGCCCTTGTCGCGTTTGTCCACCGACCGGTGGCCACGTATCAGGGGAAAGGTCCATCTTATTTCCCCGTCTGCACGACGGGCGGCGCAGATGATTGTTGATCATGAGGCGGGAAAGTCATTGATCTTGTTGCTAGTCTGTTGTCATGATGTTCAATGGTTCATTCAATTCGAAATTGAGAGCATCTGCATGCTGCTGTTGTCCGTCGGGGGCGTCCGAGACATGGGCAACACCGGCGTTGGGGCCCGTTGATTGTTTGTCTTTCTCCTATCACAGAGCAGCCCGGATTTTCGTGTTCCGACGAGCTGTGTCTGCGATGTCATGTCCTGCAAGTCGCGCAACCGACTGGAACAAAACCTGCGGTGGTGTTTCGGATGTGTTACTGCTGGAGAGACAGACCTGCAGATTCTGCGGGGGGCGCTTCTTCGTCTCCCACGAATTTCTTTCGCCCGGGGGTGGCTATCGTCCATTCAGGCCCTGTCGTTTTTATGGTGATCCGGCGCGCCCTCACGCGAGGAGTGCAGAGCGCGGAAGCCACCGCAGGTTTATTTCGAGTCTTCGCTCCGTTTCTCAGCCATGAAGAGCGGGCGTCGAGTCGTTCTTGAGCTTTCTGGCTGGCTTCTGAAACTCTCACTCGGCCGCAGCCACGAGGGCCCAGACTGTCGGGCACGGCGTCAGCGGAATTCCAGACCCCATAACGTTATCCATGTCGTGGAGGTTGGTGATGGAAGCAACTGCACTGCCTGCTCGTGTTTCGTCGGTCTGTGGGGGTCTTGTTTGTTGGGCTCGGATGACATTGTGCTCCGTGCTGTGAAATCTGTGATCACCAAAGGGTTCTGGGGTCATGGATAGAATTCCTGTTCCAGAGCTTCCGGCCCTGACGCTCGGCCCAGAACGGCAAGACACCGGGGTTCGGGGGAGTTCGCGCTAACGCAACAGGGGCGGACAGGCCCTGGGGGGTCTGCAGGTCCCGCCGTGAACTTGCCTATCGCGGCCAGGCTTAGACGGGGGTTTTGAGGTACGCGAAATTAGATTTCCAGCCTCGCACCGAAAACCGCGGCGGCGGTCAAGAAATGCTGGGGGGTTTTCTGGCGATGTTCTTGCAGTTTTTGCGGGTTCTGCAGCCTCTTGCTCCAGTCATGGTCATCCTTGGTGCGATGAGACCTGGGGGGCAAGCGCGACTCGAGTAACTCGCCCTGCGATTGCGGCAATATTCTCACTCAGAGACTCCACTCGAACAGTTCTGCGAACGGTGAACCCTGGAAAACCCTGGGGGAATGCTTCGAGAGCTTCGTTCCACTTCCATTTTCTCAACCGTCTCCTCGCTCCACACTAGCTTTTCCTTTCCATCATCCTCATCATCGATTCCGACGTTCTTTCAACCCCCTCTCAACCCCCAATTCCCCTTACCTCGAGGCGAAACACGCAAGCAGCAGCTCGACGCAGGCCGTGAAAGTTGTAGGCGCCCGAATTCTGCCGTCCACCCGTCCGTTTTTTGGGTCGCATCTTGGTGCGCATCCATCAGCTATCCATTGGATATCCATTGGGCCCCAGTGCTTCGCCAGACGCCCGTCTTCCCGGCCGCTTCAATGCTCGGTTGATATTTGCCTTGGGTAACCTTCACCACCCGCCTTCTTGTCTATCCTTCATACACCACACGACCCGTGGTCTTTTTATTCTACCTTATTCTTTTCGTTGGCGCGCTCCTTTTCGCCCTTTTTACTTTGCCCTGCCTGCCTGGGTCATTGCTTGATAGCTTAATCCTTATTCTTTATTTTTTATTTTGGAGCATTGCTACCTACCGACTGGACCGCACCACCGAAAACACTTCGAGCAACGGCAGCCACTCCCTACTTAACAAACACCATCGATCGAAACATTGAAACAACGACCCGAGAACTAAACCGAAAAAAAAGCGAAAGGATTCTCTCTGGCTAGCAGCATCCACTCTCGCCTGGTCTCGCACTCCCCTTGCCCAAATTGCTTAGTTTCCATCTGATGACACGGACATGGAACACATCTGACCGTGTAACTCATCGTCGTTGTTGCTGCTGTAGGAGTAGGTAACCTCGGCGTTGCACTTGGCGGATCGATAACCTCCCGGTCCCGAACGCCGGCCGTCTCAGAGCCATGTCGGCGACTCCACCCCGACATGGCCGGTCATTATCACTTCAAGAGCGGGCTAGTTTGCTCTCGGCCACAAGCAAGCCCGGCATTCGCTTGGTCCCGTACTCCCCGCCCCGGCTCGATCCTGATGATCGGGCGCCAAGCCAGGCCTCGTCGCGCGACAAACGCGGGTCGGGCAATTTTAACGACAATGCTAGCAACCAAGCGTCGAATTCGAGGCGAACGAGCTGGAAAGATGAGGTAGCTGGCAGCGACGGTGCAGCCCAGGGGTCCGCATTGCCGTCGCCTAGTCTGCGCCGGTCCTCATTGGTGTGGTCGAGTGATGAACGAGTTTCAGGGGTGAAACCGTCAAGGTCCAGTCTGCCGGCCATGGGCTCCGCTAAGCCAACCGCACCGCCGCGGGGCTCACCATCTGATAATGCTGACCTTCATGCGACTGCGTCAGCGCCCCGGCGCTCCCGCGCAGACTCGTCCCCGTCGCCATCTTCTACCTCCTCCCACCACTCGCGTCAACGCTCCCAGTCCCGTCGAGGCACCCTGCGCTTGGCCGTCCACTCGAACGGGACCTTCTCCCTCGTACCCGAAGAGCCGCAGTCCGACGCGGCAGAGAGCGTCACGGAGGACAACGCCCCCTCGACCCAGCCGTCACCTCTACCTTCTTCCTCCTACACATCCCGGACCCCGAGCGCTCAGGATCGCCCATCGATCGACACGTGGAGCCGTCGCGATAGCACACCCTTAACCGGCGCGAGTACCGTAGTACTCGACCAAAGTTTCTGTGATCCCTCAGATTCCACCTCGTCCTCCAACTCCTCGTCTACCACGCACCTCGTTGAGGACCCTGAAGCGGCTTCGCCCTGGAATTATCGTCTGGTCGGTGGCATACGCAAAGTTCCCACGACACCAGACAACAAAAGGGGGAAACAGCCCACCTACCGCACATCAACATCATCCTTGGAGACACAGCTAGCTGCCCTTCCGGAATCATCGACCCTCATCGACGACGAAGAGGAAGAGGCAGGGAAAGAGGAGGGGAAAGAGGGGGAGCAAGGAAAAGAAGGAAAAGGGAAAGGGATAGAAAGAGTGGAGGAAGAAGAGGAAACACCGACAAAGTCTGTCGAGCCGAAACCGTCCTTCTCATCGACCGAGTCCGGCCAAACGATCGAAACCGTTTCTGAAGCGACAAATTATAAAGTGTACGGCCCCGGGTCGGTCGTGCCCGAGTCCAGTGACAGTCTCGTGTTCAACAGTGCCGGCGCATCCAACTGGGAGGTCTTGGGCCAGTCGTCCCCAGCCCCTACCTTCCTCAGCAGCTCAGCCGCCGCTTCGCGGGCCGGTAACGAGAACTACGTGGTACATGGCGCTCCGTCCTTGTCGCCTTCGTCGTCGCTTGCTACCGTTGCTCGACGGCCACGCCTCGAATACTCCCAAGAAAGCCTTGTCGTTGCGCCATTGAGGCCGGCGAAGAAGAGGTCGTACGAGAGGTTTGGGTACTACAAACAACGGTCCCGTGAGACACTCCGGTCTCGCAACAACTCCGTTCAGTCGCTGAGGGCCGCCGCCGCCGCCCAAGACGCAGCACAGGCTCACAATCCGGGCACTTCGCCCAACCAGCGCCCTCCGTGGTATGGTCATCGTAAGGGAGTGTCCAGTTCCTCCATCCCCCAAAACACCTCCGCCACCGTCCGGCCGCCGGGCCCCATGAACGCATCACAATCACAACCCCACCAATGGAGCTCGCAGCTGTCCACCGTCATGTCCGAAAGCGAAGGTGGCAGCGACCTGGCCCGCTCCGTCTCGCCCCTTTCTTCCGAAAGGAGCGGGGGCCACCACCGCCGTCATAGCAGCACGGGCTGGGTCGGCTCCACGCACAGCCGTCAGATGGCCAGCATGTCGTCCTCGATAGCCGGGCAGCTCGAAGAGGGCGCACCGACAAACACATCGGGTAGTGACTCAATCGAGAGGCCGCAGCCCAGCTACGCACGCGCTGGCCCTTCCCAGATCCGCATGGTGCGCGACCAAGACGAACACGGAGACGGCTTGGCCGATCTTGAAGACATGCCATCCATGACGGGGCTGTCCGCGCTCTACGCGAGCGGTGCCGGCTGGAATCTCCACTCCAACTCGAGCTCCCGCGCCAACAGTCTCACCTCCTCGATCCCCGCGTGGGCCCAGGTCTACTACGGCTCGGGCGAGCACCGCTTCCTCGGCCGCCGGCCCTCCTTTCTCACCGTCTCCGAAAACGGCACCGACAGCCGCCCGCCCAGCTCGGGCATGCGCGGCAGCGAGTCCCCGAACTCGGGCGACTTCAACTTCCCTCAGACCCTTTTCAGCCCCCGCAAACGCGCTCGCGAGGTCCAGCCCAACAACGCAGTCCCTGCGCCCGACCAAGGGTCCATGGAGATCGCCCAGGTGCCGCCCTCCCGCAACGGTAGCCGCCGTGGCTATCAAGATTACCACGTCTTCCGCACCCTCAAGCAAAAGACCTCCAGCATCTGGTCCCCCCATCTGCAACCAGACCGACGTACCACTCGCTACAGTGTGTGGGACCCCCCTAGTGTTAGCTGGTCTGCCGACAGCGGGCTTCTCGGCAAGCGGAACGCGCAGGTCCTGCTGTTCATCCTGGGCTTTGTTTTTCCCTTCGCCTGGATGATCGCGGCCTTGTTGCCATTGCCGCTAAACCCGAAGCAGGAGATGCTCGATGTGGAGAGCGGCCAGGACGAGGAGAAGAACCCGTACAGCTCGACGCACCCGGCGCTGCGGTACCAGAAGTACGCGGTGGATGAGTCGCGGTTTGAGAGCGCCCGGTGGTGGCGGAACCTTAATCGGGGCATGTCGGTTGTTGGGCTCTTGATTGTCGGCGCCGTTGTTGCACTTGCTGTGGTCGGGGTTCGTCAGGGATGGGGTCGCAACTGAGGTTCGGCTCTGTCTTCTTGTACATTCTCTCTAGGCCACGGTCCTCAACACCACTCTGACCCACACACACACACGTACACTCATACACACACATACGCACACGTGAACACACACATATGCTCTCAGTTCCTCCCTGGACATCATCCTAGGACACACAACACTCACTCAAACGCACTTGCCTCATACACACAAGCACAAGCACGTCTCTCGCCAGAGCACGATTTTTTTACGACCGTCTTTCCACGAACGGACAGCATAGAAAGCAAGGGAGGGAAAAAGCTATTACGTCCTTTTTTAGCGCGCGCCTGATCTTTTTTCCTGTTTGAACACACACACGAGCGTCTTTCTCTCTTGGCTTGTCTCTCGTTCTCGACACGCAACGCAAAAATGCAGTGCTACGCAACACCACGCAATAGACTCTTTGCAACACCGCAACACAACGCAACACAGCGCGTCAAGGACTCGTAACCCCCACCCCCACAAGGGGAAGGGGGGTACATACATCACGATCTCTCAGCCCACTGGCTTGAGTCTCTCATCTTGTCAAATCTCGTTGTCTCACTCGCATCTGGTCAATCAGATCATCTGATCTAATCTCCTCGGATCTACCTGTCTGTTTCACTGTCCTGTCAAACGACAACAGCATGTACCTCAGCGTCGGTCATCATCGACCACCCAACCTTTTTATTTGGCAATCTATTTTTTTCGCTTCGCATTTCTATCCGTCGAACCATATCATATCACGTCCGTCCTCTGTTTCTAGAGCCATCTGGGAAAAGAGGCGGGTTACGTCAGTCAAGATCAAGATAATGACAAACCTTTTTCTTATTATCATTTCCCGTTTTTAGTTTTTATCTCGTTGTGGGAGATTGATGTTAATGAACTGAACCACCCGACTTATTATACACACATACATTTCTCACTTCTCATCTTCTCTTTCTCACTTCCCGGAGTTTCTGTGTTTTCTTTTCTGATGTGGCAGTCAGTGTATTATCACGTTTCTATTTCTATTCTTGGAGGGATCGAAATGGAGGCGACGGTTGGAGAGGTGAGAACCATCCGATGTTGCAAGGGTCGCGAGGAGCATAGCAGGGGAGAGGAGAGTCGGGCGTGGGGGTAGAAAGAAAGGCAGGGAGGGTGGGTTTGTTGGGTTTAGTCTGGCGAATGGGCGCGGCGGGCAGGTTGGTTCAAGCGTAACTCCCGTCGTCGCGATCTTGTTTTTTTTGGCTTCCGGTGGTTTGGTCGTTGGTGTGGTCTGGCTTCAGATGGTTTCTGTTTCGGGCTCACTCACTCACCCACCTCACATACACACGTCTCAATCGACCTGCCCGTCGATGAGGACTGATGTTTGACGTTATTTACGCTTATAACGGCTTTTGACGGCTCTTATTACTATTTTTCGTTTTTACAAGGCGGAGGCTGTCTTTTATTTTATACTTGAGCGTTTTGGTTTGGTTAGTTTTGTTTTTGGTACTTGGTTGGTTAAAGGATGCTTGCTGTGCTGTACGGATACACAAGGCGATAGGCACTGCCTCGGGGGACGGAGGAACCAGCCTATGGCCGAGGAGGGTTTCGTTGGGGTTGAGCTCGCTCTTTATTCCCCTTAGTGTACGAAGTACCGCTTGGGGTTTGGCACCGCTATAACTTAGTGTTTTAAACTTAGTTCTTTTTGCCATTGAATTTTTGGTCCAGTGTCCTCCTCTTTCCGTGCTGCTCTTCTTCCCACAGTGAAACTCGTTGCTCGCGATGCGTACGTAGGGACGAAGTCAGATTGTGAGACTCATCTCAGGCGTGTAGAAATCGCGGCCGATCCCCCCTAACTTAAGTTGACAAGCAGAACATGGGACACAAGCGAGACGGGGGTCAAAGGATAGTAAAATAAAACGATGCTCTATATCTATGCACGGTACACCGTACCCCTATCCTGCCGTCGCGGAAACCCAAGTTAGAGCATGCTATGCCCACAGTATTACTCAAAAGACAGACTCCGAATGCTTGCTACTACCATGTTCCACCGCCGGCTAAGTTGACGCGCGCCAGTCTCTACGCTAAATGCGAATCTCCTCCCCCCTCTTTCTTGCGCATAGCTCTATCCCGCATCTACCTCTCGCGACCCACCCTCCCGGATAAGCCAAGTCCGCTCGCTCATTCCTTCTTCTTCAGGTTCTCCCAGCCCTGGCTCGCTTCAAAAGCCCGAATCTCACTCATCGCATCATCCAACTCCTTACCCAAATCCTGCGTAACGCCCAAAACAGGCGTCTGCGACGCCAGGCTATCCGAACTCGTCGTCCGGCTGAGCTTGTCGCCTTTAGCAGCAGCCGCAGCAGCCGCACCAGAGGCAGGAGCAGCACCTTTCGGAGCGACGCCAGCCTTGAGATTCCGCTTCTCGATTTTCTTCTTAAGGAAGGCCTTGGCGGGGGACGCAAAGAAGGCTATCAGGCCGGCGGTGCCGATGATGGCGTAGAAGTAGACGCGGCTCCAGACCTGGATGGAGTCGGAGAAGGATAGGATGAGGAAGGGAGCCACGGCGAAGGAGAAGGTGAGCTGCGTGGTGAGCCAGGAGAGGACGTCGTAGTACTTCTTGGTCGGCAGGCTAGCGCCGGTCTTTGGGTCGATGAAGAATGGGCGGAAGTTGCGGCGCATGTCTAGTGGATGGTGGTTAGGGCCATATGCTTGCGAATAAGTAAGGGGCAAGGAAGGCACATACTCTTGGCGACAGTTTGGATAAACGAAGCTAGAACAAACGAGAGGTAGTAACCCGGGTGAAACCCGTGCCAAAAGGCGGATGTGGTGAAGGTCGCGAGGCTGGCGCGGAAGCCAGGCTTTTTACCCCGTGGCGTGACGCGCAGGTAGACGTAGTTGCGTAGCCACTTGTTGGTGTTGATGTTCCACCCTTCCAGGTAGCCTCGCGTATTCTGTGCAAACTCGACACCCCAGGGGTCGATGTTCCGGAGACGGTCCCAGGAGACCTTACCCGTCAGGGGATCGACTCCGTTATAGCCCAGCCCGGCGAGGATGCAGGCGCCTTCGGACAACGTCCAGACACCGTAGTATTTAGTGCGGGCGGTAAAGCCGACCATGTGCAGGAGGAACAGACGGTGGAGGAACCCGTATTGCAAGAAGCTGTCTTCGAGTAGAATCTCGTGACTGAAATAGGCAGACAGCTTGAGGAACGCAAAGATCCAAGCTAGAGCAGTCACAAGGCCGATCATGGCCGGTGTGCCGCTTCGTGGGATCTTGCGCTTGCGGCGGGTAGGCGGTTTCTTAGCCGGGTCGACATTGGAGGGCACCTCGAACATGGTAGTATCCAGCCATCGACGGTACTCAGCAAAGTCGAAAGCGGGACCGGTTAGCAGGCTAGGGAAAAAGAACACAAAGCCGGCGTAGTCGAGTAGGTCCGGCAACTCTGTCAAACGGCGGTTCTTTTGAATATCGGACAACTCAGCCTCGGGCAACAAGCCATCTGCCACGTTCCAACAAAAGGCCGTCAGTTTCATGACCAACACCATCTGGGCTCCTGTGATGTCGACCGAGCGCGGGCTATTCGCGGCCTGGCGCGCGATATGGTTTACGCTCATATGTCCCATCAAGAAGACGAAGCCAACCCACGGCATGTACACGGAGCCGCGCAGGAACTTAGCGATGGCATAAGCGCCACCTGCGGATATGACCAACGTCTGTATGCCATCCCAAAGGTCGAATAGTCCAACAAGGAAGAATATCGAAATACTAGGAGATGGCGGCGTTAGCCAGCTGCTGCAGCTGCTACTACTGCTACTGCTCCAAGCCTCCCGGGTTCGGGCTTTGCAAACAGAACGCACCTAAGCGAAAACAGGTTCTTGTACGCAGGGCGCGCGTCAGGAACACGCTTCAGTAGACCAGCAAGCGGGTAGGATATGAGGATGGAAAAGATCAGTTTAACTAGCAGCGGGCCGCAACAGACGGATCAGCTTCTTGCCTTGGCCCACGTCCTAGGGCCTCCTCGGCGCCAAATACGAAAGGGGTGCATACGCTCATCGGGGCCAGCGCCGAGCGCATGGCTCAGGTAGACGAATGCTGCGACGAACAAGAGCATCAGCCAAAAATTCCTCCACAGCCCAGCCAAGTGGCGGTGTGGCTTCCCATACGCTTGTGTATAAAGGGTATCATGTTGAGATAGGGTCACGGCGGTATCGGAGGATGTCTTGGTGGCTGCAGCGCTACTATCGGGGCTCGAAGTCGGGGTGCGATTCGATAGAATAGGTCTATTCCATCGCCACTGTTGGAAGCTCCTCTTCCTGTGCTGTGGCTTTGTTTCGCCGGTTTCAAAGTTGGATGCGCGCCGCTCTGGATCGTAGGCCGGGAAAATCGAGTTCGAGGGTGACTATAGAGTCAAGGCGCGATTCGAGAGGATAAAATCGGGATAAGGAAAAAGCTACCATGTTAGTTGTTTCAAGGAAGGCGCTTTATCTGCCGATGTCAAATGATCAAAGCTTGGCCGAGATTTTGACAGCTGCCAGGAGCAGCGTGACATCACCGGACGATTGGCTTGGCAGCTGATACCTTATTCGCCCACACGGCCCGTTCAATTGTCTGGCACGTGTCAGGTTTCGCTGCTCTCACAGGGGTGCAGCCAGATGGGATCCACCATTTCCACGACGTCGTCCAACTTCGCCTCTTATCGCAACAACACATTGATATTGTAGGTGCAAAGCGCTATCGACCAGTGTCAAACTAAAACTAAGGCGCAACGAAATATCCAACCAACAACAGCATAGCCGAGCCGGTAATCGAGGATGAACCCCTTTGCTCACCTTGCTCCTCCGCTTCATCCCTTTTAGATACATTAAATATTCCCGGGAATCTCCTCTAGCTGATCATCTGAAACCGCCTCAGGGTAAACCGAAGGTAGCAAGGGAGAATCCGGGTCCTTCCACAAAACACTGTCGGACCTAAAGTCGTCAGGAAGAAATGCATTTGACGGCGAATCCGGCGCGGGGAATCCATCGCGGCGCCCGTACCCGATGCCCCCCAAAGAAAAATCCTTGGCTAGGTCTTGGTCTACCGAGAAGACATGCGAGAGCGACTCGACACTTGGAGAGATGAGTGAGGTTTGGCCGGCCGTTAACGAGGGGAGCGCACTTGAGGATTGCTGCTGTATAGCTTCCGTCATAATGGGGTTGTTGGGCGGTTGCAGAAAGTCGGGAGAAAATGTGCTGTAAAGCATAGGGGATGCTGCCACACCCCAGGCGGGCTTCAAATACCCTCCATTAGTGTTTTGTAGGTCCTGAGGATTCACGAATTCGGCGGCCGCATCCCGCTGGGTACCCAGGTCAGGGTCCTCGGTTCGGTCATGCTCCGCCGGCGCCGCCGGGAGCGGCCCCGGCCTGTCGTTCCCGGATTCGTCGGGCCCATCTTGCTGGGTACCCGGGGCAGGGTACTCAGCTCCGCGATGCCCCGCAAGCGTCTCAGTCTCGCTATGCCTGAATCTCGAGCGAGCTGGTCTACCGGTTGGCGAGGAATTGGCGCGGCGTTTTCTTCGGCGACGGTGCGTAGTCGATTTTTGTGGTTTCAGGACCATCCTGGCTGAAAGAACCCTGTCAGTGAAGATGACCACAGTGTAAACAATTCATATCGGGCGCCTGTATTTGATCACTTACAAGGCTTGGGGACAGGTCGGCCGTCGTAAATAAGACGGAAGAGAGATTTCCATCGCCTGATGAATAGGCATTCGTGATTCTCCTTTTTCCCTTTTGGGTTGGCCTTCTTCCATTCATCCATCCAATCTCTTCTTACCTTCTCCATAACCTCGCTGGGGAGTATTGTGGGATACTTTTTCCGCTCCTCGTCCGTCAACTCTTTCGTGCACCTATCCAAATGTTCCTTAAGCCCGCGGCCGTTCTGGAAGTATGTCATGCACTTGGGGCACCGGGTGTCCTCGGCGTGATATCTCACGATGTGCTCGCTACATGAAAACATTGGTTAGCCTGATGTGTCGCTCATGGGGAGAAGAGCAGGGTCCTGTACTTGAGCCTTTGCATTCCGTTGAACAGTTGACCCAGTCGACAGTTGTGGGTGACTGTTCTATAGCGTTCCGGGTCTCCATCGCGAATGGGGCAGCTGAGTTTCTCGGCTTTTTGAGCCCTGTCCGGGGGCTTCTTCTGTTCAACACGGGGCCCTGGACCACAACCAGCATGTGAATCCGACGCCGTAGTGGCCCCCTCTTCATCCCCCGTGTCGTCGTGTAGGTACCTCTCTAGCGGCCGCCCATGATTCTTGACCTTTTTAGCCATGAATCACTTGCGGTGGGCACCCGGGTAGTCCTTTTCCGCCGTGCTAGGCCCAGAGCTGGTCGGCGGTGAGGTGACTTTGTTGTTGGATTTCCCGTCAAACTTCGAGATGATATTTCGAATCCGCCAAGTGGAGCGCAGCTGGTGATACTCCGTCGTCGCCAACGCCGGGGTTGTTTGGCACGCCGTGTTATCGGGGCTACCCCAGATTCCACTGTTCTGCGGGCTGCTGGCGGCTGAGGCTGACCGTTCTTCGGCCCGTACTATAAAGGAGTATGCTGTCGTGTCGTTATCCGGGTCGTTCACCTTGAATCGTACTATTGTGTACGCTTCTCCACCGAGCTCACGCTAACGACACCGTTAGTATTGGGGCCCATGGTATAGATACAAGACCCAAACTTACCTTGACGGATACGTCGGGACGCAGGGGTGACATAGGGTCAATGGCGACGATCCGGCCAATGTGATCACCACTCTTAGTGAGCAATACGGTTGGACAGGCAGTCGGTGACTGTTGACATGAAGTGGGAAAGGAGGAAAAACACATCTTGTCGGCGGGCGGAGGCATTGGGAATCAATATATCAGCTAAAAAACGAAAAACGTCGCGGCGACATAAAAAAGTGGTATCCAGCCTGGCGTTTCGCTGGGCGTATTCCGCAATCGGGCGAAGAACGCGACTGCTTCCCAGACTGCCCGGCTGGCCGGGGGCCCTTCCGGGACACATAGCGCTGCAGAACACGCTTCAATACACCCTCAGCCACGTCAGGCTCATCGTCCTTGATCGGAATTTTATTTGACGACGGGGAGGAAAGCGAGCCAAGGCTGAAAGCAACGAGGAAAGTTGCTGTAACATTAACACCGACCGGCCCAAACGTGCCCCACCCCCATTGGATGTATTCGTCCTGGAGTTGACTCCAACACGCTTTTAAAAAGTGCACTTTGCTGCGTCTGACCTCCGCCAATTCGCGGCTTTCATTGGCCACCAAGACGAAACACGCAGATGTGTGTGTCTTCCCAATGGCTGGAATCTTGTCTTCTTCTGAATTGAACCTCTAGAGACAGCCCAGTGTTGCTGTCGAGAGCCGAAGGATTGGAAGGCTACCTCGCAGCCACACAAGTGCTAGGTTGCGGCGATCAAATACCGAGGAGGCGGTCACCTTAATAAGGTTCGTAGCTGGGATGTTGAAAGACCCGAGGTGTTCTCAAAATGATATCTGATCTTCGTCACTTATCACCGGACATCTCATGTCGGAATCTCGAGGTCTGGCATGGCCCCTGGGATGGATCCAGACATGGAAAATACGTCCTCCGCCCGTGGCCGTCGCCGGTACCTCAGCGATTCATGACTCCTATCCGTCCGCGCATCGGCCTCACTCTCGACTTCTCTCCGCCCCTCAGGCCGCGAGTCTTTGGTAGCCTCTGCACTCCTAGTCTTGCTCATGGAACGTTCGGCATCGGCAATGGCCTCATCCCCACCGCGCGTGTTCTTCTTCCGGGGCCACATACTAGGCAGGGCAATCTCCTGGAATCTTGGCTCGACGCAGCGCTCATCAAACCAGCGATGGAGGCGCGACTCGACCAGCTGCGCAATTTTGGGTACGTCTTGCAGCCTGGAACGGCTGCCCATCAAGCTGCGGATGGAAAAGTCCAACCGGTAGTCGTCAAGGAAGGTGAATGTCATCTTTGTTGGCGTATTCTCAGACGGGTTGCTCGGAACAAACGAGATGGACAGCGTGCCGCTGAAACGCACAACTGACACAGCCAAGGCTACGGGCAGAACCGCACTGAGGCGCTTTGGATAGTTGAGAAGCAATTTGGTCTCCACGGCCAATGTGATCAAGTCACTCAAATCTACATCCATCCGCGCCTGCAACCGCGCCCCTTCTCGGGTGGCCATGTTCGCATCAAAGGCCTTGCCCGGCTGGAAGCTGAGGCCATCTTCGTCCACCGGCATAACGCGGCAGTTGCTGAAGATGGGGAAATCTTCCCCCAAGCTCAGCTCCGTGACGCGAATCTCGTCCACAAAGTCGGGACGTGAGGTTCCATTGAGGGCTTTTGTGAGCGATGTGAGGATTGCATCGTCGTGTTGGGCGTCACTCCGAAACTGCGCGATCGTCTGGGCCACCAACACATTGAACCAGTCCAGACTTTCGGGCTGATGACTGTCGACCTTGTAGTATGTCTTGTCGAGGATAGAGCCAATCGTCAGGGTCGGCGGGCTGGGGCGGAGGATGCTTGATTTCTTCTTGGTAAGGGTTGCTTGTTGGCCCGCTGGTCGGGTGTTCGATTCCCGCAGGCTCAACAGTGATTTCTTGTGGGCAAGTGTGCGCGACCGTCGCTCAGTCGCTCGTATCGTAGCGGTAGCATCGGGAGAGGGTGGGTCGCCAAAAATGAAGAATTTGATGAATATGCCGAGCAGGATGACGATGGAGATCTGCCCGAAGATGAAGCCCTGGGTGAAGGACAGTCTGTGCCGAGAGAGTTCCACGTTAGCGAACCGGAATGTGCAATTGCTTCTCCAAAAGATGACGCCGCCCAGACTTACGTCGGCCCCGGGGCTGCGGGACAGGCATCCGGCGCCATGTTGTCCAAACGTTCCCAGTTGATCACGGCGCCGGGAAGCTGCGCGTTTACGGTTGTCTCCATGACGAAATTGCAGATGACGTGCCGCCCATGGCCGTCAGGATCATGGAAGTTCTTCGTGGAGAAGTCGAGCCCAAAGCCGAGGTCGCTTATCTTATCGGCGCTTAGCGTCCCAAGGCCCTGTAACGGGTTCCACGAGATCCCTGGAGCAAGCAGCCCCCAGCGCCTTGGCAGACGCGCCAACTGCAGGGATGGAACCTCTGGAACCTCACTCAAGCGAACACCCTGGCCAACCTCAAGAAATCCAGTACATACGAGACTCTCTTTCATCGAAGAAGCCACCGAGTCTCGACGATAACCGGGCTGCGGCATCGTCGGCCCGCAAACAATCTAATTAGATCTTAATGAGAGCCAACATGCGGCCTCGTCTCCCCGGGAACCCATAGGCCACACCATTCCCAAGATTCGAGACCGACATCGACTTGTTTCATCACCAGCACACGGAATCTGATCTCTCACCTCATCGCCCTTCAACATGGACGTGGTTCAGGCCTCCACCGGGTATGTCACCAAGATGGTGTCGGCGGGCGACAGCGCAGCAGGGGCGCCATCGGCGAAGATGAAGATATTGTTGCTAGACAGAGAGACTCTACCCTTCATCTCCACGGCCGTCACCCAGTCCTCACTACTCAACCACGAAGTCTACCTCATGGATCGCCTCGACAACACCAACCGCGAGAAAATGCGCCATCTGCGATGTTTGTGCTTTGTGCGGCCGCACCCAGATTCCATCGGTCTTTTGATAGATGAGCTGCGGGATCCCAAATATGGAGAGTACCATCTGTTCTTCAGCAACGTTGTCAAAAAGTCCACGTTGGAGCGCCTCGCCGAGGCGGATGACCATGAGGTGGTCAAGCTGGTTCAAGAGTACTTTCTCGATTATGTCGTTGTCAACCCGGACCTGTTTTCTCTCAACATGACCTTGCCTATGCACCGGTTATGGAGCGGGAACCCAGACACCTGGAACACGGATTCCTTGCAGCGGGCCACAGACGGTGTCATCAGCGTTCTTCTGAGCCTCAAGAAGAAGCCATTGATCAGATACCAAAAGACCAGCCCACTAGCGAAGAAGCTCGCTTCGGAAGTGCGATACTACATCACCCAAGAAGACCAGCTCTTTGACTTCCGGAAGGTTGATACGCCCCCTCTTCTCTTGATCCTGGACCGGAGAGAGGACCCGATCACCCCCCTCCTCATGCAGTGGACATACCAGGCGATGGTGCATCACCTTCTCGGCATCAATAACGGCCGAGTTGACCTCAGTGATGTACCCGACATCCCAACCGAGCTTAAAGAAATTGTCCTTTCCCAAGACCAAGATCCGTTCTTCAAAAAGAACATGTACCTCAATTTTGGCGACCTGGGGAGTAACATCAAAGATTATGTCGAACAATACCAATCCAAAACGAAGAGCAACGCCGACATCGAGTCAATAGCCGACATGAAGCGCTTCATCGAAGAGTACCCCGAGTTCAGAAAGCTTTCGGGCAATGTCAGCAAGCATGTCACGCTCGTTTCCGAGCTCAGCAAGCGTGTCAGCGGGGGCAAGTTGCTCGAAGTGAGCGAACTCGAGCAGAGTATAGCCTGCAACGACAACCACGCTGCCGACCTACGGGTAAATACTCCTTGTTTCTCCCCTCTCAAACCCCATTTCACCACTGACAGATATCCCCTTAGAACATCCAATCCCAAATTCAATCCCCCGCCGTCCCTCCCGAAAACAAGGTCTCCCTCGTCGCCCTCTACGCCCTACGCTACGCCAAACACCCCTCCAACGCCCTCCCCATGCTCACGGACCTCCTCACCGCTGCAGGCGGCGTAGCCCCGCGCCAGGCCGCCATCGTCCGCCAGCTCCTCACCTATCATAACTCCCTGCACCAATCCGCGGCCGCAGGCTCAGGCGGCATCACCGAGCTCTTCGAATCAACTGGCCTCTTCAGCTCTTCCAACGCGCGCTTCAAGGGCCTCAAGGGCGTCGAGAACGTCTACACGCAACACTCCCCGCTGCTCGAGACGACGCTGCACCAACTGGTCAAGGGGAAATTGCGCGAGGCGCAGTACCCGTTTGTTGAAGGTGGGGGAAGTACGAGGGAGAAGCCGCAGGATGTGGTGGTGTTTATTGTGGGTGGGGCTACGTATGAGGAGGCGAAGATGGTGGCTGGGGTGAATGCGTCGACGCCCGGGGTTCGGGTTGTGTTGGGGGGTACGACGGTGCATAATGCGGCGACGTTTATTGAGGAGGTCGAGGATGCTGTGGGAGGGTGGCCTGAGGTTGGGAGAAGACGTTAGTTGACTCGTTCAAGGCGAATCGGGTGGGTGATTGGTTCCGTCCGTGTGTAGGTATGTATGTATGTTGGAAGGGCAGTAGTGGTTTGTTGGTCGAGTTGCAGTTTCACCACGACTGGGGAAGGAATCAGACGAATGCACACAACATCTAAATCTTAAAATTTACCGAATAGCTTCAAGCAACCACCTTCCCCAGTCTATTCTACCTACGTTGCCCACAATCCTCAACCGGCCGTACGTATCGCTGCTGGATCTGCGCCAATAGGTTTCCATCACAACCCCTTAAACCAACCGGCAAGAATCCATCGACCCAAACCCAGCCGCCACACCCCCTTCCTCACTCTGATCCCCCTTCGTCCTCAACAAATACCCACTCTCCTCATTATGCACCACCTCCCCCGTCTTCTGATCCCACAAGCACGTCCCATACACCCCCAACTCACAAATCACCCCGCCCTGCTCCAACGCCCCATTCCGCAGAATCGTATTCGCCACAGGAGGCGGCGTGATAATCTCCATCAGAATATACGACCCCCAGTGCTCCTCGGGGATCTCGCGCAGCCGCTGCGGAATGGCAGACCGGTAGAAGTTGTTACCGCCGCCTTCGCGCTGGGGCTTCATCACGTATCGCTGGCAGGCGTCCGGGTCGGTGGCTAGGCGGCGGGCTTCGCGTCCCGCGGGGGTGATGGCGTCGAGCGGGTAGATGTTGGTGAAGGTGCGGTGGAGCGCGGTGTAGCTGGCCTCGTCGTGGATGAAGCGGCGTAGGGCGGAGGGCGCGGTGGTTGCTTGTTCGCCTGGCTCTTGGTCTTGGGCGTGAGCAGCCGGCGTGGCGAGCTCTTGCTGGACTTTTTTCATGCCCGCTAGGTGTGTTAGTATGGTTGGGCAGACGATTGCCGCGGACCGCTCGAGCTGGTACCGGGCTTCCCAGGACGAGGCAGTGGGGAAGTCACTCGGGTCGTAGGCGGAACGAAGGTAGGCGACGGCGACCTCGAAGGTGAGGGATGGGTTGTGTGGCGGGTGGTAGAGCAGTTGACGGCCGGGGGAAGACGGGGCGATGGAAGTGTGGTTGAGGACTTGGGAGAAGGGGAGGCGGAAAACGGCGATGGGGTCTGTGTCGGAGGATTGCAGGGCGTATTCCAGATGGCGTTGGTCGAAGATGTTACGCTCACCGTCCTGGACGATGAAGAGGACACAGGTTGGGTGGCCGAGAGTGGATTTTCCGTAAGCACGGAAGGCCGCTGCTAGGCCGCCGGCGAGACGCTCTGCGCTCTTGTTGTCGGGGAGATCACCTAATGAGGATCGCGAGATGGGTTCCTTCAGCAGGGGGTACTCAACTTTGGCGAGATGTCTTCAGGAGAGAATTAGCAGGTGTAGCTCATGACAAGAAGAGGGTGACAGACTTGTGGAGCAACGACGTCTTTTCTGAGAGGCCCCCGAAAGACGAAGCGATGGTGTTGAACTCAACCTGCTTGATCTGCAGGGTGTCGCCGTCTTGATGGACCATGTAGTCGGAACGGAACAGACCGAGGGCGAGGTTCTAGTGTCCCGTTACTATTTGTGCCTTGTTTCGAGGAATACTGGGAGGTTATATCGAGGGGTGTGGTTCACGTACCTGGACGTAACCCTCCTCCTTCACACGCAGGTGTATGTTCCACAAGTTGGCGATAAAGTCATCACCGCCAGCCACCCTGTTATCGTCAGAGACGGCTTCTTCAACGAGCCCTGAGAGCAAGACACTAACTGCTTAACCAGGCCGCCGAGGTACTCCTCATCTTGACTAATGCGTGCGTATAGCTCGTTGTACTTGGTCTGAATCGCCTTGGCCTCCGCGAAGCAGCTCTTCGGAAATGGGCTCGGAAACAGGGTGACTGGGGCAGTCATGGCAAGAATGCCCGCATCGTTGCTGGCTATGGCCGGCGGAGGCCGGACAGCAAAGCCATTGGCGATACTCCAGTCCTTGATGGCCAGTGCAAGTCGATCCTTTTCGGGAGCGTCGTCCAGGTGAGGGGGATAGGAGCCTCCGGTTAGAGTAGACATGTTTATAGCCGTTGTTAATGATGGGATGATAACCGTGAAGAACTAAATTCCAACCTCAATATTAGCCCGTTCAATTAATTGAGTTGCAAGCTGAAGTTCTCTTTGTGGTCCGTTTAACCCTTCACCTGAGGGTATTTTCGGAATGCTTACAAAGCGGGTCAACACAGCTTCTTCTAGAATTAAGTTGTGGAACGGTCCTATCTTAAAATTGACGTCGGGGACAGGAAACGAAAGAGAGCGTTTACGACAACTTCAATGTTTTTTATGTTTCATATGGCCATAGAGTGTTAAACACCGCATCCACGCTTCCCAAGCCTCTATAGCTTCAGGGTTCACGTTTTGTCTCAAGGGGATTGTCAACGACAGCTTTGCCTTGCCCCGCGCCTTCCACCAGGCGGGGTCCGAATCTGTTTGGGACAGTGGGAATTGATGTCCAGACCCCACCACTCGTGTACCTTGCGGGAGCCAACTCGACACCCCAGGTTGACTATGTGTAGACGCCATCGGTTGGCTAGAATGCTTAGATTCAGATAACAGGAGAACCCGGTGTTATTATCGGTAACCGCAGGCATGTTCAAGGAAATGAACCTGCTCTTAAATTGGCTTTCTAAGCTCAGTTTCAAGTAACGTTATAAAGTTGAGCAAACCTAGGTTCCGTTGGAACCCTTTGTACCTGCGTACAGTGATAGCTCAAGCTATTGACTGTATATGCAGGGGACAGGGTTACACCTTTCCCCAAAACTCAATGCAGCGCCTTTTCAGCTGATCACCCGTCACTCTCGACGCGCTCGGTCTCGGCGACCGCCTCGCCGGTCAAGCTATATCGCGAGGCCAACCATTGACCCGGTAACATCCAGGTTCACCACTTGCCGTTTGAAAGTTGCTTTTCTCCTTCTAACAATTTCCCCGCGAGGGTCCCTTTTCAGTCGAAAGCGAAATGTTCCACCGCCAGTAATCTTTACTCGCCATACATTTTTTGCGCCAACTTTCGCGATACGTCCCCCCAAACCAACCAACCAACAATCCGCTCCTCGATCACCCTAGGTCTCAAAACACCAATCAAACGGCCCGCTAAGTAAAGCCCACCTGCGATCGGAAGAGTGAATCCAGTTCATCACTTTACGATTGAGGTCGTCAACGGCCGAAGCATGAAGATCGTTAGCGATAAACTCACCACTTCTTTACCGGTAAGTCGCTAGGCTCCTCGAAATCAAGATTTGCACATTGATCTCCAAAACACGGCTTGGTTTCATCACCATCAATCAGCATCTTGCCTTCCACCCTTCTCTAACCTTTTACCCTCACCCGCACTTGGCGGGCCGACGGACTCTTCGTCACAATTCTTCTCCTCACCAATGCCCCCTCTCCATCACCACGATTCTAGTTTTGGCGGCTCGACTTGTTGTCAATTTCCGCTTCTTTTCTTGACCACACTCTGTCTGCCTTGAATCCTGGATTCAACGCACATCAACCCTCACGACTACAACTGCTAACTCAGGCTCACCGAAGGACACCTAATTGCCATCATGGCAGAGGATGACCAGGACGACCCATTTCTATGGGACGAAGATCGGGTGGTGCAGGAACTCTGTACCGTCAATCGGTCCTGGAAGGCACCTGCCGCAAAGCGGTTACCGGACCCGGCAACGCTTGAGGCAAAAATTCGTGACTGTGGCGTTGACGGAGAATCCCTTCTCACGTACGGGGACGAACTTGGTTACGACCAACTGTGGGGTTCTTTGGGGGTGAAGAAGCTTCCTCATCAGCTGGCGCTCAAAGATGCCATCAACCAGTTCAGAAAGCGTAGCGAAGGGTTCAAGAAATGGCGCGCTTTGCAGCTGGCTAATAGCCAGACCGCAGAAATCGATGAAGCAGCCATCAAGTCAGAATCTCTTCGGCTCGACGATCCCCAAGCCGCGATTGAACCCACTCCAGCTCTCGATGTGGGCCCTGGTCAGACTCATGCTAGACCAGTTGGTGCTGCGGAGGATCTGGGAAACACTTACCCGGGCGTTTTGTCTCCCACTCTTTCAGGATCCGTGGACTGCAACCCGCTGGACCCTGCCCAGGTGCTAGAAGGTGCCGACGCTGGCGAGGGAGAGCCGCCGAAGAAGAAGAGGAGAGCTGCACTTACGACTGTGTTAGACGACACCTTGGGCGACAGGAACTTTACCGCCATTCCCGTTGAAGGCGATATATTCAACGATCAATTTGGCGACCAGGTGATTCTCAACAACACAGCAGAAGCTTTAATTCACGCGAGCGGCAGTACCGGCTTTTTGGGACCCAGGGTTCTCCTGCAAGGTGATATACTCGCGCCAGCGTTGGGAATTCCGTCAGACCCAGCCAACGATGCGTTTACATTGCTGCCAAGTCATATCGCGCCGGGGCGTCGTCTTCAGGTTGCGGCGGTTATGAAACGCTTCCTCCGAACGAATCTTGCCGAGAAACTTCAACTAGATGATGGAAACGGGAGCGTGAAAGCGGATAGTGAGGACATAGAGTCGGATCATGAGAGCGTGGACAGCGAAACCTGGCGCGAGTATCAAGAGGAGGAGGAAGAACTGGCCGCAATCGAGGCGGGGAAGGCAGCAAATAACGATAGGGGCGCCAGCAAAGAGGAGGCGACCGAGCTGATCAAGTCAATAATAAAGGACCTGGAAGCTCGATGGCTGGCTGAGAAGAAGCCCAAATGCGACCTCAAGGCCTTCAAGACATGGCAAGACGCCCGCCGTAACACCCAGCGCGCAGCCCTCATCAGCCGGGCAAGAAACGATCTGGCCCACTTCGACAAACACCTTGCGAAACTCTCGGGGTATATTATTGGGGGGCATTGGACTACAAAGGAGCTCACAGAGAAAGCGGCTGGGTTTCTGGAAGCTACCGTTGACAACAAGATGCGCCAGAAGTGGCTAATCGACGTAATCCAGAGCCCGATCCAGCCGCCCAAGCCGTCAACGCTTCCTCGCCCAGCGCCAAAACGAGTGAAGCGGCCGGAGCCGATGGCCGATGATGAGGAGGTTTTGACGAGCGATGACGATATCGGCGCGTTTGTCGAATATGATGAAGAAGATCAATTCGTTCCGCCCATTGGTGATGAGATGGACGTGGACTCTGAGCCGTTATACGATCAGACCGTGACAAAGGCCCCGGATGCTCCCAGTAGTGTGCCGGACGTAGCTCGATCCCCTTCAAGAACGACGTCTGTGGCTGAGCAACCTGAGCAAACTAAGGAGAGCGATTTGCTTTCTGTCTCCCCCACACCTCGGAAAATTAAGACCGAGACAGCGGTGACACCGGCGACGCTACGCCAGACTGGCGCTGCGGCGTCCGAGGCCATTGTTATTGACTCGTCCCCATCGCCGCCAAAGCTGACTGACGACGAAGTCCCGGACATCGAAACGCTGGAGGGCCTGGAGAAAATTGGAGAGATTGGGATTCAACACTGGGAACAGGCAAAAGACCCAAAGCGGCTCCTTGTGGCGGTACTGTGCGAATGGTCCCGCGGGAAACTTTCCCGGATCTACGAGGCCATCAATGGTCGCAGCCATACCGAGTTATGGGCAAAACATATGCAGCCAATTCTTACAGCCAGTGACGACCTTATTCTATCGGCTGCCGACCCGGAGGAGACGTTCCATTTATGCCGCCTTTTCGATATTTTTATCAGCGTATCTGCTCAACGTTTCCGCCAGACCGTCCTGAAGCGAAGTACACGCCATCGTATGAAGCGAGAAGGGGGGTCGTTCGCCAAGTTCTGCTCGTTTCTTCGACGGATACTCTCGTATTTCCTCGGGATCGCCCCCCAGCCGCCCACACCGGCGCGGCCCCGTGGCGGGCCGAAGGGATCACGGCAAGGAATGCCAGCTTCGCCGACTCCCTCCACCCCGCTTACAGTCAAGAGACATGACCCTGCAGACGACCCCGAAACCTTGGAGGAGGAGTCAGCGTCAGACGAGCCGAACGCGCCAGACACACCGTTGACTAAGAAGCGACGGCGGAAGAAGCGTCGTGACGCAACCGCAAAGAATCTCCGACTCGATAACGTGAAACGCAACGAAGAATTCAATCGGCGTACTCGGGAGCTACGTGACCGGCTTGCGAAGCAAGGGTCTGTGTCAAGCAAAACCGCGCGCCTAATTGTTAATGAGACTAAGGAGTCGGATGATCAAGCTCTGATCTATTTCAACGACCATATTGGGAGCAAGATCAAAGACCACCAGATCGAAGGCGTCCGCTTCATGTGGAACCAGGTTGTCGTTGACTCGAACATCCGCCAAGGTTGCCTGCTCGCGCATACCATGGGCCTAGGAAAGACGATGCAGGTGATTTCTCTTCTAGTAGTCATTGCTGAGTCGTCTGCGTCGCCAGATGAATCAGTCTGGTCGCAAATTCCAGAGAGCCTGCGGGATTCTAAAACCCTGATTCTCTGCCCAGCCAGTCTGGTAGACAACTGGGAGGAAGAAATTCGCATGTGGGCACCAAACGAGGTGCTTGGTCCCGTGTGGCGGGTAGACACGGCGCTACCGTCAAAGCAGGTGAAGACCCTCGAGGATTGGGCTTCATCGGGGGGGATCCTGCTTCTCAGTTACAACAGATTCACCACGCTGATGCGCACCGACGAGGCCGTGGCGAAGCTGCTGCAGGAAACTCCAAACCTAGTTGTTGGCGACGAGGCTCACTCCATAAAAAACTCAGAGTCCATGAGACACCAGGCCACTGCGAACTTTACGACCATGAGTCGTATCGCCATGACGGGCTCCCCACTCACAAACAATGTCATGGACTACTATGCCATGATCAACTGGGTAGCTCCTAACTACTTGGCAGATATTGCCGAATTCCGAGACCGGTTCTCACGGCCGATCAACGACGGGCTGTTTACGGATAGCGAGGAGTACAAGAAACGCAAAGCTCGGCGAATGCTGCATGTTTTGAAGGAGACGGTGGATCCTAAGGTTCACCGTAGAGACATCGAGGTCCTCCAAGGGGAGCTTCCCAAGAAGAGGGAGTTCATCATCACACTTCCTTTGACGAAGGTCCAGACGCGTCTCTACAGGATATACATCGAGTGTGCCCTTGCTACGGCGGGGGACCAGGCCACCACGCAAGCCAAGGCATGGAGCCTCGTCGCCAACCTCGGCCTGGTCCTCGCGCATCCCGTCATCTTCAAGACCGTGACAGCCCATAAGGAAAAAGTGGCTGCCACAAAAGCCCAGGCCGCTCAGCCGCAAGGAAAAAATGAAGAAGAGACGGAAGTTGAAGTTGAGGTGCCGCAAAACGTGATGAGCCAGATGCGCACAGCGGTTGCAATCCGTGAAATCGAAAACTACTCACTCTCCAACAAGGTTCTTGCCCTCCTCCAGATTCTGGAAGAGTGCAAGAAAGTGGGAGACAAAGTCTTGGTGTTCTCACAGAGGACTCCCACGCTTGACTACATTGAAAACATCTTCAAGCGAAAGCGGGTGATTTACCAGCGGCTGGATGGCCATACGCCCGTGGCCACTCGGCAAGACTCGGTCAAAAAGTTCAACACTGCCTCAGAATCAGAGGTCTACTTGGTGGCCACCAGGGCAGGGGGTGTTGGCCTCAACATCTACGGTGCCAATCGAGTCGTGATCTTTGACTTCAAGTACTCGCCCACGGACGAGAAGCAGGCCATAGGCCGGGCGTACCGACTTGGCCAAACAAAGCCAGTCTACGTCTACTGGTTAACCATTGGTGGCACCTTTGAAGACACGATTCACAACAGAGCCGTCTTCAAAACCCAGCTTGCGTCACGGGTTGTGGACAAGAAGAACCCAGATCCGTATTCAAGAAAGACGTCCGAGTATTTCAAGATGCCAGAGGAGGTGGAACAGCAAGACTTGTCCGGGGCCAAAGGCCAAGACAGGGTGCTGGATGCCCTTCTCGACAGCGAAGAAATCGGCAGCTTGATCCGGAAGATCACATCCACGGAGACCTTTGAGCGAGAGGAAACGTACGAGCTCACGCAGGAAGAAAAGCAGGAAGCGGAGAAAGATATCCAGATGGAACGACTGCGGTCACAGAACCCAGAAGAGTACAGGCGTCGGGAGCAAGAGAGGGCAATGCAGGCAAGGGGCATATCAGGGATGTATCCCTTGCCCCCGGGGTTGTTCCCGCCGCGTCCTGGCTTTACCGACGGTGAGTCCCAACCAGTTTCTGACGGCACGGCGAGCCGGTGCAGTAGAATAGTAAAGATCAAGGTGCCGGAGCACCTGAGAGAGAGACTCAACCTAGGGCCACGCGTTGTTGGCAACGTGGCCCTTGGAACTGCAACCGCTCAACCCGACCTACCGCCTTCTTAAGTCAAACAGCGACCATTCGACGCGGCAACTGCTGACTCCAACTTCTACAGCTCTAGCCAGACAACCTGTTCCACCCGCCGTCGCCGCGGTGAACGCCGCTCTTGCGGCAACCACTTTTGCGGCAACCACCCACGCGGCGGACACCCCTCCTTCGACCATTATAAACCCGCCCCTAGCTGTTGCCCGTCCCCTAGCCGATCAGGGGGGCTCAGCTGGGCCACAAACGGCCCCGGTGCCGAACGGGGCCGCTTCGGATAGCGTTCCGGCCCAACAAGAAGCAGCACCAGTCCCGCAACCGATTCTAGCCAGCGGATCGCAATTCAAGGGTGCCCAGAACATATCGCCATCCGCAGCTCCCAGCGGCCCATCGTGGTCAGCCCCCGGCCCCTCGTTCAGCGAGACCGTTATCTCCGCTTCCGACTTCCCTGAGCTGGTGGCTGTCCACAACACCCTGAGTCAAGAGGGCCGCCATGTGCGGCACCATCCGACCGAGTTGATCAGCAGGATAGCCAGTATTTGGGCCCAAAACAAAGTCGGGCGCCTGCCAATGGTGGACAAGACCCAAAACCTTCAAAAGTTCTCGCGTAGTCAGCGGTTTTCGGAGGCGATGCTTTCGGGGTACATGGATCCAGAACAGCTTGCGACCATGAAGCGGCCGGAAATGGAGGCGGTTTGGAGTGCACTCGGCGCCATGAGCGCGGCCGAGTTCAAACAGCAAGCTTGGACGGCCAAGGCCGATATCAACAACGTACGCAACACCGACAACACTCGCAACACATGAGGCGCAATTTTTTTGGCTTTTTGATTTCACTAGCTTTTCATTCTTGTTTCATCTTTTTTTTCTCTTTTTTCTTTCGACATTTCAACTGACAATCAATGGGACGCGACATAGCAATTGCGATCGAACGCATTAACAAAGCTGGGCGGGAAAGAGAGGAAAGACACAATAACAGGCCAAGGGCAGGGCGGGTCGAGTACCGACAAGACGAATCGGAGCGCGCTGCGGTTATTCATTGATCCCGCCCCGGAGACGGAGAACCCGTCGCCCAGAACTCCCCCGCAGGACCGCCGGCGCGAGACCAGACCCGAGGATTCAGCCGAGTCTCCCCAGAACATTGACTAACTCGGAGGTATTTCCGATTTCGCATTGACCTTTTGCTTCCTTTTTTTCTTATTTTCCTTCTATCCCTTTCCTTTCTCTTCCATCCTCATGGTTGTTCTTGAGATACCCCGGCAATTTGCTTTTCTCGAGCGTTTCCTGGCGGCGTTGGGGAGGCACAAAACTAAGGGGTTTATTTGGAGCACTTCGTGGAAGCATGGACAAAGTGGGAAGGCGGGATTGGGGCACTCAGTGATCGCTGTGAGCTAAACGACGGGAGGGGCGGTGCAAGTGGGATGCCCTAGGGAATGGAGGGCAAAACATGGACAAGCATCGGTTTCGGAGAGGATTGGAGTGGTTCTTTGTCGAGTGTAGTGTATTTGTAAAGGCCAAGCCTAAGCCATATGGTAACCTTCCAAGAAGGGGGGTACGAAGGAGGGGAAGAGGGCTTGCTAGGTTGCTCTCGGACTCTCAACAATTAAAGGTGTTGACAAAACCGAGGATTCCAGATCAATTACTCGACTGGTCAGATCCTCTCCAGGAGTGATTGGTTGATTGTCAGAATTAGTGTCCATATGCAAGGGCGTATTGTGGTTTGTTGGTGTGACTGATGACTTGCACCGGAAAAGACTGGGCCGAGGCAGGGCCCAAAAACGTGGTTCAAGTCTGGGGTCCAGAAACCCGCAGAAGGTCTCCGAGACCGCGGGGTTCAACGGAAGCAAGCGCAGCGTGGGAAGTTGCGGTGACCTTGCCCGCCTAATTACTCTGGCCCGTGGGGCAAGTCCTTCCGCTTGTAGCGAGCTGGGGCCAATAGGAAGCAGCGGATTTGAGCAGCGAAAAAAATGTCAGGGCTCTCATTGATGAAGAGGACAGATACCGAGTCGACTCCGAGCCGACACGGGGATGGATCCACACCAAATGTGGATCACAGGCACAAGAAGTTGTTTCGGCTTCCCGACTTCCCGTTCTTGAGACTCATCCTCTCTCTTTTCCTTTTTTTCTTCCTCCAAACATTTCCAATTGATCCTCCACCTTTCCCATCCTGACGTTGCGCTGGTACAGATTGTGCTTGCGTGGTGCCAGGCTTTCTTTTTTTTTGTACTTTGACTCCTTACCTCACCTAAGAAACAGGTTGAGTCGGTTTTTTTCCATCGCCCCTGCGTTGTGGAAAGATCGATCGATCCCCCCGCCCCCACCGTTGACATCTGTTAACGAAAAAAAAATCCTTGTTCGAATCACCGACGACAAACCACCACGCGATATCGCCCCGTCTCCTAAGACAAACGATCTCCAACAATGGACTCCGTCTTGCGCCAGTCGAAGGCCATGTGCCCCTTCATGAGGCAGGCCACGGCCGCGGGTCTCCGTGCCATGTCAACGGCCGTCACCCCTGCTACGCCGACGGCTGTGTCCCCCTGCGGCGGCACCATGTCCAAGCTGCAGGTGCTCGCCCGCCGCTGCCCCGTGATGGGCAAGGCCATGGCCGTCCAGTCGGCTCGCATGGGTCATACCGCGGCCGGCTTCCCGAGCGTCGCGGCCAAGGCTGGCATGGCCACGTTTCATGGCCATGTGAAGGCTGGCAAGGCGAAGCTGCATACTACTCGCCCGCAGGAGGCCCAGGCCGTGGATAGCTCAGTTTTCCCGGGCCATGAGAAGGGTTAGTGGGGGGTTTCTACTGTTAGGAGTGTTGTTCTGGGATTCTTGCTGACGATGGCTTAACGTACAGTTCAGCTACCTCCCCGTCTTCCGGCCAAACCGGCCGTCAGCGCTGGCCCTGCTGCCACCACCCGCCCGACCACCCACACCGGCAAATTTGACTACGAAGGATTCTACAACCATGAATTAGAGAAGAAGCACAAGGACAAGTCGTACCGGTACTTCAACAACATCAATCGGCTGGCCAAGGAATTCCCCCGCGCTCACATGGCCACCAAGGAAGAGAAGGTCACGGTTTGGTGCGCCAATGACTACCTGGGCATGGGTCGCAACCCGCATGTCCTGAAGGCGATGCACCAGACGCTTGACGAATACGGCGCTGGGGCTGGTGGCACACGCAACATTTCCGGCCATAACAAGCATGCGGTCGAGCTGGAACAAACGATTGCGAAGCTCCATGCGCAGGAGTCTGCGCTGGTCTTCAGCTCCTGCTACGTGGCCAACGATGCGACCCTGGCTACCCTCGCCAGCAAAATGCCCGACTGCGTCATCTTATCCGACAGCTTGAACCACGCCTCGATGATCCAGGGTATCCGCCATTCCGGTGCGAGGAAGATCATCTTCAAGCACAACGATGTACAGGATCTGGAAGAGAAGCTCGCATCATTGCCGCTCCACGTCCCCAAGATCATTGCTTTCGAGTCGGTTTACAGCATGTGCGGTTCAATTGGCCCAATTGAGGAGATTTGTGATCTTGCCGACAAGTACGGCGCCATCACCTTCCTTGATGAAGTTCATGCTGTCGGCATGTACGGCCCGCATGGTGCGGGTGTGGCGGAGCACCTGGATTACGAGGCCCACGTCCAGGGCCGGCCCCGCGGGACCATTATGGAGCGGATTGACATCATCACCGGTACCCTTGGCAAAGCTTATGGCTGCGTCGGCGGTTACATTGCCGGCAGCGCCAAGCTTGTCGATACCGTGCGCTCGCTCGCGCCCGGCTTCATCTTTACTACCTCACTCCCTCCGGCCATCATGGCTGGTGCCCGCGCAGCCATTGAATATCAGATGGAACACCAGGGCGATCGCCGCCTGCAACAATTGCACACGCGCGCGGTCAAGGAGGCCCTCCAGGAACGCGACATCCCCGTGATTCCGAACCCGAGCCATATCGTGCCCATTCTAGTTGGTAATGCCGAACTTGCGAAGAAGGCCAGCGACAAGCTTCTGCAGGACCATGGGATCTACGTGCAGAGCATCAACTACCCGACCGTGCCCGTCGGCCAGGAGCGGTTGCGCGTGACGCCCACCCCGGGACACACGAAGGAGTTCCGCGAGGAGCTGATCAACGCAATCGAGGGCATCTGGACCGAACTCGGCATCAAACGCACCAGCGAGTGGGCGGCCGAGGGCGGCTTCATTGGCGTTGGCGTGACGGACGCCGCGCCTGAAGAGCCCCTCTGGACCGACGACCAGCTGGGCATCGCCGAAGCGGCGCGCACGCTGCTGCAGGCGGCGAAGGCGGAGAAGGACTCGGCTCCGTTTACAGGCGGGGTGACTGAGAGGCTCCTGGAGAGGGAGATGGAGGGACTGAGGACCGCCAGCGTTGCCGCTTAGGCTTCGACTGAGCCATCAGTCTATCCGTATCTTCCCTCGTCAATTGGGAGATAAAATCCTTCTCTTCTCTACCGGGGTGTATTGCCCCGGTGTCCCTGCTGCTCCAGTCCTAGGGGAGCTCATCTGACCCGTCTCTTGTCTGTCTAACCTGTCGCTCTTTCTTCGTTTGCGGTGTTTTTCTTCCCTTGAAGACCAAGACGTCAAACACGTTCCTTGGAGCGCGCGAGCAGCAAAGAATGGGGACATTTATGTGTACAAGCGGTTTGTGGTTTTCTTTTGAACCAAAAAGTGCCCCGTGAATCAGTCGGGTGTACTTGTTGTGCCTGCGGGCGCAAATAGCTGTTGGCTTTCTGCTTTCGTTGTCACATCCCTGTCTTCGTTTGGGTGTTTCCCAGCGAGGGGGTGGAGGAACAAACGCTGTTTGTTTTTGACATATTATGTTACAAAACATTAAATATACTTGGACATTGGCCGGCCTGCTCTTCTTGGAGAGGCCAAAGCTGCCATAATTTTTGGTGCCCCTTTGCTGCGTGCATTGAGACTTACTTAGGTTATGCTGACTTCGATGGTACCCAAAGACAAATTGACGACGGCACAGTGGCGGTCAAGGCCGTTGATCGAGGTGCCGAGCTGCCGTTTCTCCTGCGATCTGACATGCATGTCAAAGGGCGTCAACGTTAACTTCCGGTCCTCACCGGTTGATACCCACAGCCACAGCGCGTAGTTAAGCGCCACACTTCTTAACCCCGACAATCGATCAAGGACACCCCAGCCAATAAGAGACTATTATTTGCAACACAACGCCACAACCTTAACAGTAGCAGCCCCACAGGAACGGAGCCGGAACAAAAGTCTTCTCCATTGCTCCGACGGAGCAGACCGTGCCCCTGAAACTCTCCGTCTCCGCGCCGCAGCCCAAGAAACACAACCTTCGCGTGTTAGTCGACGGGAGGACGGGTCGACAACACAGCCCCCCCTTCATTGAATTTACCGCGTGGATCGGCGCAGGTGCGTGCGCGGCTCGGAAACATTTTCGAATTCATGCTTCGATTCGTTCCAGGGGACGAAAAGAGAAAAAAAGGCTTGGTGGTGTGTTTTTTGGGTTGCTTGTCTCGCATCCCAAATTGGTAAACTTGTCTGACTGGAAGGAAGGGGCTTGCTTTTCCTGCCTTGCCTCTTTTTGCCCTAACGTTACCTACCATACTCCCGCCCACCCATCCATACCTCGATTGCATTGTTATTCCCCCCCGCCCCGTCCCGCCTTCTGTCAAGTTAAAGTCAGCCTAGATGATGACGACGACTCCTTCGGACTGAATTCCTTGGCGTTGCTCATCGTTTAATCTCGAACCCTCACACCCCCCTGTACTTGAGATTGGCGAGTTTGAAGGGAAGGAGAGGTTTTGTTGGGATAAGTGGCTGGTGGGATCCTATTTCTTCTTCTCGGCTCGTTGATATTTTGTTGTTCTACTACTGTTTTGTCTCGGCCGATTCTTTCTACGTACATACGATACGATACCAAGCCTTACGTCGTGTGGCGTGTAAGTGGAATTGTCAGACGACCGACTCAACAATCAACACTCAACAACTCCCGTACCGCTGTCTAGCTCTACTCGGTCTCGACGCAAGAGAGAGTCAGATTCTTGTCATACACTTTACTTCCCCTTTTCTCCGGGCACTTTCCTGTCTTATATCTTACCATAAGCAGTTCTTGCTTCTCTCTTTTTTTCCCCGGCCTTAACGCCGGTCTGGCTCCGGTTCAACCTTTCCCGGCCGAACCGCTCCCATCGAGACCCCCACTACAAACAGTGCTCGGGGATAGCCAGTGGTGGCACACCCATCCCTAATACTGCCACTAGCGTGGACGAATTCGGTCACAGGTGGCGAGATGGACTCCAACCGCATTTCACCTCCATTGGGGACAAGACCTGGCGGCATCAACAAGGGCCCAAGAGCGTGTGCTACGTGCGCGAGGGCGAAGAGCAGGTGCATTTCCGGCCCACGAGGACAAGAGAAGTGTGAGAGGTACGTTTTCGGTTCTTCCCTAACATCCTTATATGCCCACGCTTGGGTACCATGTCGGCAGAAGCGGGCTAGGACCGTTGGTTCCATGCCCGCTCGGCCAAGCAAGGGAGAGAAGGGGACCGGCTCGTCCCTAGTGGATCCCGGAGGAGACCCGCCGGAGCCGGGACGTACCGTACTGTGTCCGTTCCCGCCCCCCCCCCCTCTTCAATCGTCCCAATTTGGACGTTGTTTGCTTCCACCGGATGCAACCCGGTGCACTGGTGTGACTGAGAGCGGCAGCCCGAGCTTAGCTAACACATGCCTAAGATGCCATCGCCTACAGAAGCCTTGCTCTTCCCAGACCCCAGCACCAGCAAGGAAACGCAAAGACCCCAAGCCTACCCGCGTGGCTGAACTCGAGCGGCGTCTGGAAGATCTCACGGCCCGGATCGAGTCTGTTCAGCGCCAGGGGCCCGTGGCGCTAAGCCCGCCCGATTCGGACCACTATGTCCTCCCCTCCTCGCTCGAACCCCCGGCAGTTGCTCCTGAGCCGAGCAGCCTTCCGCCGCCGGGCACGTTCTGCAAGGGCTCAGTGAGAACGACCGAGCAAGGACGTTGGACCGGCCCGTATGCGCACTTGTTTCCGGGCCAATCTCTTTTTGGGGAAGGGCAGCCGGCGTCTACCAGTAACGGTAACAACAACAATAGCAGTGGTAACAACAACATCAACAACAACAACACCAACAGCAGCAGCAATGGAGTTCCTCCGCAGTCGACTACCACGACGCTCTCATCACCCTTGGGACATCCCCAAAACATCACCACAATCCAGCCCACGACAGCCACAGCACCGACCTCCCTCATATCCCCCTCTTCCCCCTACCCAACCCAACCCGACTACCAACCAACCTCCTCTTCCTCCCACCCCGCACTACAACCACCACCACCACAACCTTTTCCAACCTCCGCCTCCGCCGACGACCCCTGGCCCACAGGCGACGAAGCCGAATCCCACCTAACGATGTACCACGAACGCTTCGCCCACCTATTCCCCTTCATCATCGTGCCCACCCACCTGACGGCGGCACAGATGCGGGTGCAGCGACCGTTCCTGTGGAAGGCGATCATGATCGAGACGAGTTTGTTCAATGGGGCGCGACAGATCCAGTTGGGGGATGCCTTGCTGCGGGAGATGGGCGAGGTGTCGTTTATGGGGGCTAATGGTGGGGGGATGGGAGGGAGGAAGGGGGAGGGATTGTTGGATTTGTTGCAGGGGGTGCAGATGTTGATTGATTGGTGGGTGGTTTTTTATTTTTTATTTTTTTTTTCGTTTACTCCTTATGCGGTTTTCCTATTTACCCCTTTTTGGGTTTGTTGTTGACTTTGAGACAGGTACCATTACAACTTGAACAACTTCCAGATGGTCAATCTGCTGTTCCTAGCGCAGTCGGTCACAGCGAGCCTGGGTACCGTTGAACCGAACGAGGAAGGGGATTATGACACCGAGGCGCTGGAGCAGATGCGAGCCTTTGCCACGACATACTATCTCGTCACCCTGTGAGTTTCCGGTTTTGGGTTCCGAAGCCCCAAACTTGCCCCCCTTTCCTCGAGCAACTAGTTGACCTAACACCTCAACCCAGGACCTTCACCACCAACAAACGCCCCGACTCCCTGATGAACAACATCAACCTCTCCTACCTAACCACCTGCTGCCACGTCCTGCTCACCCGCATGGAGCACCCAACCGACGAGCTCGTCGTGCACCTCGTGCGCGCCCAGCGCCTGCTCCAGAGCATCTCACAGGGGTTCGCCCGGCGCAAGGCCATGCTAAAAGAGAGCCGGGTGCCGCAGACGGCGTTTGTGGCGGCGCTCAAGGAGCGTGTACGCGGGTTTGCGGCTGCGCTGCCGGCGCATGTTAAGGGGAATGGTATGTTTTCTTGTTTTCTCGTTCTCTTCGTTTCCTTAGTTCCCCGGCGTGAGGGTCAGCTAACTAACACCCTCACAGTCTCCCTCGAAGGCCACTTCCTCGTCGCAGAAATCCTCATCTACGAAAACAGCCTTGAAGAACTCTCCCACTGCCCCATGCGCTGCTTCCAACCCCAATCACCACAACAACCGCGTCAACAAGACCCCAACACCAACAGACTCAACCGCCTCAACCCTTCCAGTCCCGCGACCAGCCTGTCCCCACCATCAACAGACGAACAAAACGCAAACCGGGTGCAGATGCTCTGGGACTGCGCGCGCGTCGTCGAAGCCTTCATGTCCCGGCGTTTTGCCCACGAAACGGGTGACTTCCCGCGGTTCATCTCGCTGACGTCGCTGGACTTGACTTATGTTTTTTTGACCATGTTGAAATTGGCTACGCTGCAGGTGCCCGGGTGGGAGTTGGAGGAGGTTAGGAGGGAGTTGAGGTTGTATGGTGGGTACTTTCTGATTCCTTTCACTGCTTTCTCCCTCTTCCCTTTTCCCCCTGAATCCTTGATGATGAGAATTGCCCCGGGATTTGCAGCTAATCAATGGTTGTTATGCACAGAGCGGATGGACCAACTGATACGACGCATGGAACACTCGGCCAACAAACGCAAACGGGCGACCCAGAGGCGCGACTGGCCGATCGACGAACGGGAAGAGGCCGAGGACCCATTTGCCAAACTCGCACGCAAAGTCGCCAACGTACGGGATATCATATCCGTAAGGCCCCCCTTCTCCTTTCCTTTCCAAAGGACCCCCCCTTTCTCTCCCAAGGAAAAGAAAGAAAAACGAAAGCCCTAACGCTCGTCCAACATCAGGCCACAGCCTACGACAGCGGCTTCGCCACCTCGCAAGTCGCCCGCGTAGTCGACCCCGCACCCATGACCCTAGCCGACGCGACACAAGATCTGATGCAGGATCTGGGCGGCGGCGGGCTGTGGCAGCCCGACGCCGCGGGGGCCGGTGGTGCTGGTGGCCTCAATCTCAACAATTGTTCTGGGTTTGGGGATATGTTACCTGAGTGGGACTCGTTGGAGGGGGTGGATTGGGCGGCGGTTTTTAGTGGGGATGCGGTGTGTGAGGGGTTTTATGCGAGTTGATGAGAGGGGTATGATTGTGATGATTGTTATGATGATGATGATGGATCTGGATATGAATTTGGACTGGGGACATACGACAACATTTGGGTGTTTATGAGGGTGGTATTTTGGGTTATTTCAACGGGAAGGAAGCGGCATTGTTATGGTGTTGGGATGGGTCATGTTTTTTTTTCTTCATTTTCAGATCTATTTACGCCACTTACTCGTTGTTCCCCCTTTTTTGCTGTTACTGGGATAAAACATGGAGAGTGAATAGACTAGTTACCGGGACAATATTCGGCGTTGAGAACGAACGCGAGATTTTACGGGCACCTTGAGAGAAGGGAGCGACTGAAGAAAGGAATAATTGGACTTTTACATTCAACGTGATTATCTTGTCCATACATGTGGGATGTGATTTCTTTGCAGTATGGATATTACCCTGTCGTCGAGATGGGGTTATAAGAGTCGAATTTCCTATCCTTTTCTATGGTAAAAGTGGCGGAGTAAATCTTCTGTAAGCGGAGCTAGAGTCCCCCGCCACAAAGCATCCACCCGTACAGAGTGTAATGCTTGATATTTACGATGATACGTATATCGTGCTATCGTTAAGGCGCTTATTAACCTTGCGTTACGATCACGATTGTGGGGTGGTTAATTCCACATTAGGAAATATTGGAAGAAACCGTCGGCCATAAGGACCCACTTAAACCTACCTATTCACTCATCAACTCACTCATCACCCATCATCATCATCATCATCATCATCATCATCATCATCATCATCATCATCATCATCCTCCTCCTCCTCCTCCTCCTCCCCCCCTCATAAAAATAAATAAATAAGCCCAGCTAAAAGCCAACATGACTCACCCAATAAAAATCGACTACACCCTCTACCTAGTAACCGACTCAACCCTCGCCATCCTCGGCCCCGACCGGGACCTGTACACGGTCGTCGAGCAGGCGCTGCGCGGCGGGGTGACGGTGGTGCAGCTGCGGGAGAAGACGGGGGATACGGCGGAGCTGGTGGCGAAAGCCCGCAAGCTGCATGGCATCACGAAACGGTACGGCGTGCCGCTGTTGATTAATGACCGCGTGGATGTGGCGCTGGCGGTGGGGTGTGAGGGGGTGCATGTTGGGCAGGATGATATGGGTGAGTTTCTCTTTTTCTCTCTCTCTTTTTTTACATTTCTACTCTTTTTTTTTTCTTGGTGTGGGTGTTGAGAATTGAGGTTTTGTTTTTAAGGGGAAGGAGATTTGAAAGGGTGGCTAATTGGTGGGTTGTGTAGATTTGGCCACGGTGAGAAAGCTGCTCGGGCCGGACAAGATCATTGGCGTCACAGCTAGCACGGTGGATGAGGCACTCAGGGCGTGTGAAAGGGGTGCAGACTATCTGGGCATTGGCACCGTTTATGCCACACCAACGTGAGTTGTTGACTCCCGTGATCCGTATTGGTGGTCCAGTGACTGCCGGGTGTGCTGACAGCAGTCCTATGTAGGAAAACAAACACCAAGGAAATCATAGGCGCAGCCGGTGTCCGTGAAATCTTGACGAAAATCGCCGAGGCCGGGCATAACACTCAAACCGTCTGCATCGGGGGTGTCAACGAGTTGAATGTTCAGCGCATCTTCCACCAGTGTCATTCCCCCAAGAAAGCCCTGGATGGGGTCGCAATTGTCAGCGCCATCATGGCGGCTCCGGACCCGGAGGCGGTCTCCAAGAAACTCCATGGGCTGATTACGTCCGAGCCGGCTTTTGCCGCGGATCTCGGGGGAAATCAATCTGTCGCAGATGCGCGGTCTGTGGTGGATTTGGTGCCTTCGGTTATCAAGCACGTCCATGAAACTACGCCGCTTTCGCATAACATGACCAACCTCGTATGTATATACCGTACCCTAAGGGTGTTTCTCATATAGGCTGTGTGGCTGGGCTAACACGAAGGAGGTGGTACAAAATATCGCTGCCAATGTTGCCCTCGCGGTGGGTGCGTCACCCATCATGGCAGGCTATGGCGAAGAGGCGGCCGATTTGGGCAAACTCGGCGGCGCTCTGGTCATCAATATGGGCTCGGTAGACCCTAGTGGGCTGGAAAACTATCAGAAAGCACTCAGGGCGTACAACCAGCAAGGGCGGCCGGTGGTGTATGATCCAGTGGGGTAAGTTTTCCATGGCTGAGGACTCGGATAACTCGCGAATGCTGAAGCTAACTCCCATGTTAAGAGCTGGTGCCACTGCCATCCGCCGCGCTGCTGTCGGGACCATTCTATCCAGCGGCTACCTCGACGTAATCAAAGGCAACGAAGGCGAGATCAAGACAGTCTTTAACAGTAGCAGCAGCGTGAACACCAGCGGTCAAGCCCAGGAACAGGAAGAGCAACAGCGCGGTGTCGACAGCTCAACCACACTCGACGCCACACAAAAAGCACAGCTTGTGCGGGCCCTCGCCGCGCGCGAGAAGAACGTCGTCGTGCTCACGGGCAAGACGGATTTCGTCAGCGACGGCACGCGCACGTTTGCTATTGACAACGGGCATGCGTATCTCGGCATGGTTACCGGTACGGGGTGCACGTTGGGGACGACCATCTCGGCGGCGATTGCCTCGCGGAAGGCCGGCGGGGGGGTGGATCGCTTGGTGGCGGTCATCGCGGCGATTTTGCATTTTGAGATTGCGGCTGAGATCGCTGCCGTGCGTCCGGAGGTCCGGGGGCCGGGGACGTTTGTTCCGGCCTTTTTGGATGAGCTGCATTTAATTAGACAGGCGACTGTGAAGGGGGATTTGGCCTGGTTGGAGAAGGCGAAGGTCAAGAAGGTGGAATAAAGAGTAGCTATGTTGATCAAGATTTTTATTTTATTTTCTTTTTTTTTGTTGTTGTCCCGTTTTGTTTGGTTACCCCTTTTTTACTACCTAGAGTGTGTGGCGTTCCAGGGGCTTCGGCCCCGAACTCGGCAATCGGAAGTCGCTGAAGGCGGGGTAGCATCGGCTGATACCCGGGTGCATTTGTCCCCACTTCGGCCGGATCCGCTGCCCCGCGCTGCGGTCCTCGGGCCAGACAACTCCATGTAATTACTCACTTGCATGAGACGGAAGGCGAGCTTTCTCCGATTTCAACTCACATCTAGTGAAACTCTCCCAAAATTACCCTGACATCTGGACGTCTTTTCTTCAACACGCTGAATCTCTCCCCGTCCACCCACCATGGCTGCCTCTGCCCCTACGCCCGAAAGGCGGTTCAGTACGTTTATTCCTTTTTAGCTTCTTAACTTCATCCTCGGTACTAACCCCGAACCACCTAGAGAACCCTGCCGTCTTGTAAGCTCTCCTGATCGGACTCAAATTTCGATATTCATCGAACGAACTAAATCAACTTGGAGCTCTGCCACTGATACCAACAACCCCTAGCATCTGCGACATCCAAGAGAAGTTCCGTCCAGCCATCCATGAGTTCGACAAAGTGTAATCACGCCCACCCCACTCACTCAAAGTAACCGCATCTCGTCCTCCGCCATGACACTTACACTAACACTCACTCACCCACCTAGGGTCCTCACCGCCCGCAAAGCCCTGCGAGCCGCCACCGTCCTCCAAATCCCCATCTTCGTAACAACCCAAAACCGCGCCCGCCTAGGCAACACCGTTTCCGAGCTGCGTATGTTCCCCTCCCCTCACCTCACTCACCTCACCTCACACCCCCCTCCAAATCCCATCTAACCCACCCCGATATATCTCAGAACCCCACCTCCAAACCGCCGGCTCCCTCGTCCAAGCCAACCTCGACAAGACCCGTTTCAGCATGTGGATCCCCGGCATCTCCTCCCACCCTCAATTCTCATCCACCTCTACAGATCACACCTCCGACGTCCTAATAATCGGCATCGAATCCCACATCTGCGTAACCCAAACCGCCCTGGACCTCCTGCAGCACGGCCACCGCGTCTACATCGCCGCCGACGGCGTGAGCTCGACAAACCGAGAGGAAGTGGGGATTGCGCTGGCACGGATGCGGCACGCGGGGGCGGTGGTGACGTCGAGTGAGAGCTGGGTGTATGAGTGTATGGGGGATGCGGGGATTCCGGAGTTTAAGGGGATTGTGGGGGTGGTGAAGGAGAGTGCGGGGGATACGAGGGAGGCTTTGGGTGGGTTGGTGGGGAGTAAGATTTAGAGGGTGTACGTGTATATATATACATACCATGTAGGTGTGGGTGTGTTCAAGGGGTAGAGAGAGAGGGAGAGAGAGAGATGGGAAGATAGATAGATAACAAAGTACTGCGAGTCATCATATCATCACACAACTCGTGGTTCAGTAACATGTAATGAATGATTGTTCCTTGTGATTCTTTATTTATATTTTGCGCTGTTTTTCAGATTTTTCCTTTCTTGTCCACACATCTTGGGTCAAGCCCCGCCCCCTTTCTCACTGCTCGGCACAAGCCGGTGCTGCCAAAACCCCCATTGCAATATCCCATTCCATCCCACGCCTTCACACGCTTTCATGCCACTTAGCCGTCTGTCTGTCCGTCTGTCTGCCTGATCCGTTCATTACGGCTCCTTACCCCCTTTCATCCACTGCAAGTAGATAGCAAGCAATGCCAGCAAAACGAGGCTCATTCATTCATTCCCTAAATCCCAAATCCCCTCTCATTCAATCACTCAGACGTACCACCCGGCTTCGGCTTCGTCGGCGCTATCCACGAAAACGCCGACGCGCTTCCCAGCGGATTATTCCCCGGTCGAGTAGTAGTACTGCCCAACGGCGGCTTCCCGCCGACTCCTACCGCAGCCGTGTCTTGGTGGCCATGTCCTCCTATTGCCGACGACGTCTGTCTGCCCTCTCCAAGACTGGCCAAGCCCGCAGCCGAGACACTCACGCTTCGCTTCGCAATACTACCGCTGGTATTGCTACTACCGCTGTTGCTGCCGCCCCAGCTGATAGCCGCCGGGCCACCCTCGGCAGCCAAGTGTGGCTTGCGCTTCGTCTGCTCGGTATTTGTAGATCCACTGCTGCGGGGCGCCCCTGGTGCGGGCTCGTACGCAGCGCCCGTCTTGGTCGTCGCCGTCGAGCTACCGCCACTGGATTTGGATGCTTTGAGAACCTTCATGTTGCGGGGCCGCGCAGCTGGCTGATACCCGCTCAGCGGTGTATTAGCGTCACCGCCAAGGGCCGCCGCGGTCTGGCGCCAGGGCGTGCGGATAGCAGAGCTAGAATCCCGACGCTTAGGAGGTTCGCTGGATCCAAAGGGTTTTTCTGCCGGGGCGGGGGGTGGTGGTGGTGGTAAGGCGGGCTCGGGGAGGTGCTTGTCGAACTCGCCCCCGCTTTCCGATGCCGCGCTGGTGGTTGCTGTTGTCTTGGCTGGCTGACTTGAGGCCGCCGTGGGCGAGAACATCCCGTCAGACCCGCTCGAGAGAGACTTGGGGACCGAGATCCCGCCTTCCTTGGAATCGTGGACAGAACCATTGACCGATTTCTCGGCTGTCACAAACTCGGGCGCAGAGGCGTTCAGCTTCGGCTTGTTGGGCACGATGTTGGCAGTGGTGATGTTTCGGAACACGGCGTCACGCTCAGGCCGCACAAACGGGACGGAAAGCTTGTCGCGGTCACTGCCATAGAGAGTCATGAGATTGCGGGAGAGCAGAATATCGGCGCCGTACAAGCGTAGCGTGTGGCTGCCAATGAAGACGCGAGCCGCCTCTCGTGACTCGGGGGATTCTTGCTGATCCATGCCCGTCACCTCGAACGTTGCTGTGATGCTCGGAAGCCGCGGTGCCGGGCTCGCGGACCGCGAGTTGGACTGCGTGACACGAGCCTCGACCAAGAATACGGGGAGTGAGATGCTGTGGGTGCCATCCAGTTCCCGATGGATGTTGTTAGTTAAGTCGAGCTCTCTGAGCAACGAGTACTCGATCGTCGACTTCTGGGACCCGGTGCACACCACGGCGTACAGCACCAGATCGGACGTCCAGTTGGTGGTTAGTAGACAACGGATGATTGATGGTGGAGCCCCGAGGATGTGCACGCCAGGTGGTGGTTCCGGCATCTCTAGTGGTGAGTCACCGTCGTGGTCACCCATCATCGACGCATTGTCCAGCCCAAGACTACTAATACGCCCCGATACACCAGAATGCATCGAATGCACCGAGTGCCCGGCCGAGCTGTGTCTTCCATCTGACTTGTGTGAATACTGCCGTTCCATCTGGTGCCCTCCAAACCCACTTCCGGGACGGCTGAAATCCCCCGAATGTCGGGTGCCGTGGCCGCTGATGTTGTTCGTGCTTGGCAAGGTGCTCACATCAAACCGGACACTGTTGGCTCGCGAAGCCACCCCTCTTCGAATCGGTTCATCCTCAGCGTCCAGGTTCTGTAAGCTACCCAAGAGATTCGTGTCTTCGTCATCCAGGTCGTCTATCAGTTCAGTAGCGGGCATGTGGACAGGACCTATATTGAGACGGATTAGCTCGGCAATCAAGGCGCACCCGAGCAGGCGCGGGGTAACAAAGAAGAAAACAAGTCATTGTTGACGACAAAACACTCACCGTGCTGCGGCGTGCCCCCAAGCACACTCGGAAATGGGGAGTTCCAGACGGATTTGAGCGCTGCGTCATCGGCCTGTCGTTTCTCGAGCGACCGTAGCCGCTCTGTATGCATCTGCTGCACATGATTGATGCGCTTCAACTCCATTTGAACATCGTGTAACTCTTCACGGCTGACGGCAAAAACGGGATCCATGCCCGCAACCACGCCGGAGTAAGAAAAACAATAGAACAAGGTTCAATCCGAAGAAGCTCAGCGTGCGAACCACAAAAAGGTGGGCTATATACTGCTTCACGGATGTTCGTATCCCCGGGTGGGCGAGTCGGAGTCGAAATGAACGAGGCAGGGCTGAAAAACGAGCGATCCCAACTCAGTGCGAAAGTTGCAGGCCACAGTAAACAATTGTCCCGTCTTTTTATTGTTTTGCGTGCCTCTCGCCGACCTCGATATTCGACCAGCATCAAATCTCGAGGTCCGCCTCCCCCCACATCGCCCGGAAAGAAAGACCGCCAGGCCTTCAGCGATACACCTCTTGCCCGCGTCTGGTCCGGAAACTGAAGCGGCGTTGTGGTGATCTCCAAGCAACAGAGGATCTCGACGTCGGCGATGTGGGTAATGGCACGAATTTCGCCAAGGTGTAGTGATTGTCGGTTCGTTAGAAGTCGGTGTCGATGCGGGAATTGAACGGTACGTCTGTGGTGAACGCGAGTGTTGTTACACCTCTCTTAACTTTCGGGGCGGCGGGCTGAACGTCAAATGTCGAACGGCGAATGTTTGGGGGGTCGAATGAAGCAGGTACCCTCGTAACGTAGGGCGGGGAACTTGTTAAGTCGCCTCGAAAACCAAATGTTCAACTGGACTGATCAAAATGGAATGCTGAAAGGAAGTTTGGTATGTTTTGGGCGTAAATGTAAGGCACAAGTTCCGTGGGTCAAGGGAGAACGCGAAACGGGTCGTTATTATTAAACGTTGTTGGGTGGGTTGGAGTGACGGATTCAATTCCGGGAGAGCCACCAGCCAAGGAGCTCCAAGCATATCAACCTCGCCTTCCTAGCTTGCTAGGGTGGAACAACCCTAACCCCCGCTCCCTTTGTCCTATCGACTCCTATTCGAGACTCAACAGCAACAAATTGTTTCCTGGACAACTCTCGAGTTTATTTACCGATTTACCCCGTCCATCCACCAATTTCTATAGCTTCGCATCGCAATGCTTAGACTTGTGTTTCTTTTCATTTACTCTTCTCTTTCTTTGGCGTCATTGCCCCTCTTTCGGCGATAAGGCTGCACACAGGCAACGGCGATCTTCCGACACTTTGAAACAACTACCATGCGGCGTAAACGCATGAACCAAAGTCTAAACATACCTTAATCTCCTGTTGGGACAGCATTTCATGAAGCAACAAGTTTGGTACCGGAATCACGGGTACCATTTCCATTGAATGAACCCTGGTGTCAATTCATCGCTAGCTGACTTAACTCATCGCCCCGCGGAAATAAGCATCAGAGCAAAAAAAGCCTGGCTTGAAACACTCAGCTGGAGGGGGAGTGATCTGCCCTCGGGGGTTGGAAATCGTCCGCATCCGATATCGCACACGTTCGTTCTTCTCTTATATGGACTTGCCCATCAGATGGTCGTCCTCCTCGAGCCAGGGCGCGTCTCGCCAGTCCGGCAGCACGAACCCAACCTTGTTCTCATCCTTTGTCCCAGCCCACTCTGAACCAAGGTGCGGCCGCACTAGGTCGTAAAAGACCTGGTACGACTCGGCACTCATGTGCAAGCCGTCGGGGAGCAGCTGCTCGAGGTATCCGCGGACCCCGCTCTCCGGGTCACCAAGGGCCGCGCCGTTCTTGGATTTCTTCGGGTCAAACCCGGGGGTCTTCTCGAGGGCGCGGTCCATGATGGCTTTGTGCAGGTCGACCAACGTGATGGCCGGGTGTTGGGCCGCGATCTGGCGGACGGCCTCGGAGTAGGCGGCGCTGCGCTTAGTCTGGCGCATCGCAGCGGGGTGTCCGTTGGCGCGGTCAAGTACAGTCACGCGAATCTCGTCTAAGGGCGGTGGTGTGACGAGTAAGATCTTGGGTTTGTGCGCCGTCACGATCGGGTGATTGATGATGCGGACCAGGTTCTCCTTGTACCGCTCCAGCGGCACATGTTGGAAGTTGGTTGGGAGTTGGACGGCTGCATCGTTGGCTCCAAACAGGATAATCTTGGCGGTTTGTTAGTCGGTCGTGCCACCGGGCTAAGCTGAATGCCAACCCCCACTACCTTATTCCAGCAGAGAGAAGAAGAAGCTCACCAGGTATTTCAATGCCGGCCCGCCCAGTGATGGCGGCGCAAAAATATTGGGTAGGATGCTCAGGGCGTTGGATGTGTTGTACCCTGAAAAACCGCGGTTGACGACATCGAAGCGGCGGAGAACCTCTGATGTCACAAAATGCGAGTTAATGGCACCATTTCCTTTCCGTTAGGGTACGTTGAGTACTGACGTGTCTGAAGAGCGGACTGGAAGGAGAAGCCGGTGGATGCATCAACGCTGGCTTGGAAGAGTGAGTCCCCGAAAAGGACGATCTGAGGGTATGAGGTCTATGGCGGGGTAACGACGTTTATCTTTTATCAGCATCTGTACGACGGAGGCGTTGGGGGGCTCAATCGATTTGGAGAACCACTTACCGCCATGACTGGTACGTTTGGCTGAGTGGTACGGTATCCGGCAACAGAAAGTGCAGTCGAGTGAGCTGGAAGTGAGGGATGGTACCAGTGGAAGTATCAAGTTATGCAAGATACCTTCAAAACTTGGGTGCAAGAAGTAAAACTGGGAAGATAAAGCGGTCTTTGTGGAAGGAGAAACCCTAGTCATCTAGTCTGCATTGGATGGGTCTTCCCGTGGGTGCACCTGCCCTTCAAATACCGCTTCCTGGAGTAGGTTTCTCCCGGCGTGGGCAAGGCCCATTTCCTTCTCAGGCCTCGCGATAACTCGCTCGCCCACTTGCCCACATTTGTCCACTCATCTCCAACACCAAGCTGCTCGTTGACTCGCCCGAAGGGCCCAGCAAATACACTTTGCCCCACTATCCCACCAGGGGTTTACTTGGAATGGCACCCCGCAGCCGGGCGTCTGCAGACCGACCCCCTTTCCCGCCTGGCGACGACAGTTACAACAACCTTTTATACTTTCCTCGACCAACGGCGATCTAGATCGAGGGAACACAACAGACTGCCCGATGATTTGCGGGCATATTTAGATTCCCGCCCGCAGAGCCCCGACCCGTCCTTACCTAAGGTGAGTACGTATGGTTAAAAATACTTTGCACGCCTTGTGCAAAAAAGTTCAAATCTGCTCTCCGCCATCCGTCGCCTTTTTCCCTTGGCTTGCCTGGCTATCTCAGGATGTTCGGCTAAGCTTTTGAAGTTTACCAAAAGTCCTATTGGCCCTCCATAAGAAAACACAGGCCGGGTTTCCGTGAGCCAACCACTCCGGGAGGTCCAAGGCCGAGAGAAAAAGAGCCGATTGGCACCTAGTCACATGGGAGGCGGCGACTGCGATCTGGAATGCAGATACCTGCCTTGCCTGCTCATGCTACCCCGTCTGCTTTGGCTCCGTCGCTTGAGGCCTGGTCATGCCGGGGCCAATCGTGCGGCTCCTAGTCAGGCGGTGTCCAGCATCGACGGGGCCAGTGGCTGGGCCCCTAGTATCGTCGAGACGACATGCCATGGGCAGGCCTTGGACCGCGCTGGAACAAGTCCCTTCAACGACTGGTGAACCCCGCAGGGAGCGGTGGGGGGCCACTTCGAATCAACACCCTTTTAAGGGTCTGATGAACCCAGCCCAGCGGAACAATCCTCAGAAAGGGCCTGTCTTCTTGAATTTGGCCCATCGGCTGGGAGGGTTTAGGTGGCTAAGTGGGGTTGCTGTTGACTTAGCGCACCCGGCTGTTTGGATGCCCGCATTTTCCGCCCGAGACAAGCGCCTAAACCGGAGGCCAGCAAAGGATCCCTTGCTACCTACTTGCCGACCTAGGTGGCGAGCCACTGTTACTTCTCCCGGGTTTTTGGCGGAGAAGATTGGGTGCCTGGGGCCTCTGAGGGCGGAAGACGCAATTCAGTCCATGAAGCTCTTCATGGGTGGAATCAACTCCGAACTGCCCGCTGCGGTGCGGGGCAATGTGGGGGTTGTCTGTTTCGGAAGCCAGCGACAGCCGGATATGGATGCTGACTTATCGATAGGCCCTGGGAGTACGCACCTAGGCCGCCAAGTATGGCCACCTGAGCCACCGACTACCCATCATCGACCTCACTATCTTTCCTCTCTTTTTCCGAGTCGACCTATGATTACCCGAATGCCGTCTTTACCCCTCAATATCTCATAGCAGGTCGCTGAGATCCGCCGAAGAACCATGTCCCAAGCCCAAGTCGCGTGCTGCACCTGCGCATCCTTACTCGCTGCTCTGCCTCGCGTGTGCTCTACCTCCGAGAAGCCCCTACCCGACGACAGGCGACTACAGTGCTGCGGCCGTACAATCTGCGGAGCATGCATCCGTGTAAACAACCCTGTTCTTACTCGGGTTTCCCGCTTTCTTACTTCGGGTGTTGTGCCTGAGACTGACCAACAATTCACACCCAGAAAAACAACCGCTTCCGAAGCTACTGTCCCTACTGCCAAACCTCTGCCGAACCCCGACTGAAGCGCCGGCCGGATACCCGGCGAGGGCGAGATGCGGAAGGGTCTGGAGCGGGAGGTTCGGATATAGACCTGGATAGTGAGTCCGAAACGGACAACGACCCACCTCCGTACTCCGCCATTGCCCAAGCAGTCAACATCAAATTCAACCCCACCGAGTCCGCACGGCCACCGCCCCCATATACCCCGGCTTTATCGACGTCACAACAACTCGGGAGCCCCAAAGATCAACACTCGTCTTCGCCCTCCTCCTCCTCCTCCTCCTCCTCCTCCTCCTCAACGCCTTCCCCGGCCCCCTACACAGTCCACCACCTGCGTCATCCACCCCATCCAACACCCGATTCCCTCCTCTCCCTCTCCCTGCAATACGGTATCCCGCCCGCCGTGCTCCGCCAGCACAACCGCCTACCCGCCGACGCCGACTACCTCCTAGCCGCACGCCACACCTTACTCATCCCCACAGCCCACATCACCACCAACCCCAAGTCCAGCGCTGCACCACCCGGAACTACTAGTAGTAATAGTAGCAACAGCCAAGAAACAGCCAGCCTCTCGCCGCGCCCCATCGAAGATGCAGCCGAGCGCGAGCGCAAAATTGCCATCCGCCGGTTCATGGTCGCCTGCAAAGAGGCCGACTATGACACGGCCGTCGTGTATCTCGAAGAAACGGGCTTCGATTTCGCGCTGGCTGTGCAGCGGCATCGGGAGGATGCGGAGTGGGAAGCGCGGAATCCAGTGAGGGTGGGTCCTTCCTCCTCGGCTGCAGGGGCTAGGGGGAAATATTATAGGGGGAGGGTAGCGAGGGTTGATAAGGGGAAGGGGATGGTAGTGACTGGGAAAGGGGATGCGGGAGATGTGAATAAAGTTGGCGAAGCGAAGTCAACCCCCGGGACAGGAGGAGGAGGGGGGTTTCTGGGATGGTGGAGAGGGTGAACTGTCCGTGATTTTGGGTAGGCTAAGGTAGGTAGGTAGGTACCTAGGCAGGGGGGATCTGTTTGTTTTGTTGTTGCATAGACACGCACCCGCGGATGATACCACAGTTCAGTTAGTCAATTTCAACACATTCCGTTTGTATTTGTATGATACCGCTTAGCACCTAGGAGCGGGCCTCGATGAGACGTCAATGTTCACAGTGGATGGAGTGTTTGTTTATTCGTGATGATGAAAAACTTACGCCGTTATTGTTTGGATGTCCCCTTCCGGAAGCGCCGCCCACTTACTTGCCTGTTACAATACACAAATTATCCCATTGCCTCGAACCATGCGGTCCGCCATGTCCGTCCGCCGGCCTAACATTATATTTCATCCCTTGCTTTAGAAAGCAGATCTTGTCCGAATATCCTGCGCAAAAAAATGGCATTAGCACATCGTCGGCTGCTAGCAAAGAAGAAAAGGGGGGTTGATATAAAAATAACATACCGAGATCTTCCGCTCGATTTCCCGCACCGAGCGGTCCAGCTCTCCAGCAATCATCTGCTTCTTATCGTTCGGCAGCAGACTGAACCTCTCACACAAATCTCCATCGATCACCCCCTTAACCGGCACATAATACCCACGGTAAATGAGATGATCCCGTCCCGCCAACGGGGCGTCCTCTGCCCGCATGTGGCTCTCTAAGTTTTGGAAGAAATCCACGTCCTCGCGGCTGACAAAGGGGATCAGCACGCCGACGGTGCCTTGGATACCGCTCCACACCAGCACGTCCCGACCACCGGCGACGAGATTCGTCTTGACAATGCTGGTGGGCAGATCCTGCGTGTAAAAGTGTGCCATCAGGCTGAGACGGCTCTGTGCGCCGTGGAGGTAGTTGCGGGCGTGCTGGAGCTGGATCTCCGAGCCGGGTTCGTCGCTGTCTTGGCTGGCCCGATCGGGGCACCGCAGGATCCAGATGTTGCCGAATTTATCGCCACCCGCGACGGATTCGTAGTCAACCATGGTCGTGCAGGTGGTCCAGCGGTTGACTGTGTCGTCCGCGAAGGGGAGGAGCTTGTTGCTCTCGGGCTTGTAGACAATGTAGGTGAGGCCCTGCTGGACATCGCCCACGACGATGCGGCTGCCCTGGGTTTGCAGTGATACGATCAAGTGAGGTGCCACCACTCCCTGGGCTTTCCGCAAAAGCTGCCGGAGACCGAGGTCGTACACACGGAGGGTCTTGCCAATGCCAGCAAGGAGGCGCCCCTGGAATGGGATGAGAGCCATGGGAGGTTCTTCCACCTTGGTTTTGTGAATGAACTCCAGGTCTCTCCCATCCTCGTGGAACCGGTACACGTGGATATAACCCTCGCTGAACTGGCGTGGGTTGAGCACCATGTCCTTCCCAGTGCCCACGACGAGGAAGCTCTCGCCGTCTTGGCTGGAAAAGGGAACGACAGCGGCGCTGACCGCCGCTTCGTTGCCCTCCAAGTCAATCCGCTGGAGTACACTAGGTTCTTCCGCCAGGGGGTCCACAACGCTGATGCAGGACGCCCATCGCCCTGTGGCTCGAGGATATCCGAAGTCTTCTGGCGGCAAGACCGCTGCGTCGCCATTAACGGCGCCTGATTGTGCCAAAAGTTGCGCCCGTAGTTCGGGGGGTAGGGTGTTGTTGTCGGATTCGATGGTGTAGAAGTACGGTTGTTCTGGGTGCTTGACCAACCGTTTGGGGGTGTAGGTGAGGGGGATAGACTTTTGAATCATCGTCTGGCCCAGCCTCTCGATGGTAAAGATTCTGAATAAGGTCAGCACTTGGTACTCTCGTGTAACAGAACCAAACAATAATCAGAGAAATAAGTCGTCTCAGAAGGAACAATTGATACAACCGTAGTTGTAGTCAAGCCTCATTGCACATGGCGTAGGTATCCCTTTTATCATCATGTAGACGAGGAGGATAATTTGACTTCAGGGGGGACGATGTGGTTAACTAACCTAAGGAAATTGGCATGAATGCCCACCATGCCTTCGAGGCACTGCTCACTGCTGAAGTTCCAGCCATATTCGAGGTCGGAGTAAAGCAATGGCGTCGTGACGAAATTCTTCGTGATAGGGTCTGTATACCCCAGCCATGGACGCGAACTTAGGGCCAGGACGCAAGGTTGGCCTTGGACGGAGACTTGGAACAGCTTCGTGGGCTTCGACCCAAGGAACTTCGACCGGGCATCGGCGAGTTCACCGGTCACCTCGTCCAGCACGGTCCTCAAGTAGACTCCAGAATGTAGGCCAACGTGAAGGAATAGTGTCATCCCGCCGGTTGAGTCTTCCATCGACATTATCGAGAGAGAGGAGGGCGCCGACGTAAGCGCCTGGATAGACTTCATCTCCAACGTAGATTCGGGATCCAGGCTGAGGATGCGGACTGTGCAATCGTCACAGCCAACCGCTAAGAAGGGGCTTCGCCTCAAGCCTTCCGGCACTCTGCCTAGGCTAAGAGCAGTTACAGTCCCTGTCATCTCTTTCTTCTCATCGTACTCGGCCAGCGACCCATCGGCGTCCATCTCGAAGTAGACAATCTCGCCAGAGCTCAGGGCAATGACAACCTGGCTCTCATTCGTCGTGGCCGCGACGATCGATCGGTGTTGGGGAGCGGGCCACTCATTGACACGGCCTTGAATGATATGCCGGATACCCTTGGGGTGAACTTGGATAAGACCTTCCTCGCCCAGCTGCTGTACCGCTAGGGTGGGGACGCTCGTCAAGAAGCCACTCTCGGTAACCTCCTCGACAGTTTCACCAATGCTCAGAACAAGCGTCGCGTTCGTAAATGACAAGACAATATATCCATCGTACTCGTCATACTTTGTCAACTTTGTCGTCCACACAGCAGAGGGCGTGCCGGGCAGCTCCGAGGCAACGATTTCCGAAACCTCCAAACCGTATTTGAGCATCCGGAATGTACTCCTTGCCCGGTTACCGCAGACCGAGTAGATTTGCGGCGCATCGTCCTCGGTCAGGTTCGCGATCTTGCAGTCAATCAGAGGGTTCATCGAATCGAGGCTTTCCACAAGCACCAAGTTCTCGAGGGGCCGTGGGTGGAAATAAACGGGATTATATGCGACCCGAGGGTCTGTTGGGAAATCATCGCTCGAGAATTCCAGCTCCTCGTCGTCGTCCCCAAGCTTCTCAAATTGATAGAAGTGGTGGTTGCCGAACTCCCCGGCAGCGAAAAGGAAACCGCTTTTCAAGATGCACAGGCTCTGGGCAACGGGTATTGTGTCAAAGTACTTGACTTTCAAACGTCGGACTTCACCAGTAGGGTTCCCATCATCGTCCTCGACCATGTCCAAGGTGACTTTCATCAGGTCTCCGTCGTCAGTCTGGAGGAGGAAAAAGAAGGCACCAGCACTACCTTTCAGCTTGTGCATGACGCCGGACACGATGGTACGCTTCCTTTGCGGGTCCTCCGTCGCACCGCGCCGCCTCGGTACGGGGACGCGGAAGGCCTCCTGGTTGGAGTGGCGGTAGGTGACATTCTCCTCCCCACAGACTAGGACACCGCTGGGACCGTCATTGCCTCCCGGAACCTGGAAGAGCAGCGAAGAAGTCGGGTCGACAACATCTGACCACTTGCGCACGACGTGGTTCAGACCAAGGTCGAGTTCGTAGTAAACCAATTGCGCCTCGGCCTCTTTGCCCGCTTCCCCAGTCGCGTCCTGGTCAGCCTCAGAATAGTCGATCTCGAGGGCGGCAAAGACAGGGTTGGCATATCCCACGTCGAGGGCCACGAGTGACAGGACCAAAACACCGGGCTTATGTGCCTCAAGCGGAGAGGAGATGGTCAATTCGGCCTGAGCATTTCGGTTCAGGACGTAGACCAGCTTGTTCTTCTCCACCGCCGAGATTAAACACGCCCGTCCTTTCGGGTCAGCAGCCAAGTATTGGCCGGGAACAACGCGCCGCACTCCCGACTTTCCGAACGTCTCAAGATGGATACGCGAGAACCGGTTCGTTTTAGGCTGGTACTCGACGATGGCGATCCGGCCCGAGTCTGTGGCGAGGATGATGTAGTCTAAGGGTACAGACACGTTTTAGCACAGTCCGGGGTAGGTAGACAGGAGAGTCGCCGCGCGACAGTCCGCAAAGGCCGCCACGCGTTTCTATGCGGAGATCATCCCGCGAAAGCTGCGGAGTGGATCGAGAATCACTAATTGTTCCGAGAAACGGTACGTGGGTGCGGGTGTTTGTTTTGGAAAAGTTTACTCACCTTTGTGGCTACCGGCAAGACGAAAGGTCGCAATAGACCGGATGATGCCGAAGATGTCATGGGACAATATGGTGTTGACCCTTCCTTGCCTGGGGTCGGGCTGCAGGAGTGTGAGGCGCGACCCCGAGGCGGTGATGATTTGCTGCTCCTTGGTCCCCGAGAACTGACCCAGCAACGCCTGTGAGATTGTCGTCGGCGGCTGGATGGTCAGCGAGTACAAGAACATGTTCGATGTCGTCGCCATGATTCCCGGGGCGCGCAGAAAGCCGGCGCGGCTTTACTGTGGTGGGGGGGTGGTGCAATCTTGCAAGGCGGGTTGGTTGAGTGGTGTTTATGGGAAGCCGATGGGGGCCTGTTGCAGTCGCGAAAAATAAAAATCAAAAGCTTCGCTGGAGCTGTCTCTCAGCGCAGGTTCAGCCACACTTGGTCCCCCGCTAGTGCCACTTCCGGGCTGGACATAGTGTGGCTAGAGCTTCCAGCTTGGCTGTCTTGATTGGGCAACAGCCAAACCAAATGCGGATTGCGGCTTGGCAATCGGGTGAAGCCTCAAAATCCCACTTTAAGATTCGCTCAACGACAAACACCAAACCGCAAAGTCAGTTTCACTGGCGCAGTTCGGTCATGACCCTCCCAGCGGAGCTCGCCGCGCGCTCAGCGCTGTCCCGAGTTTGCACACGATGTTCGTCGTCCCTCCGAAAACGAGGATCAGTACACAATGGCGTTTTCCAGGCGTCCCGGCCACCACAGCGCGCCCTTTCTGATATGGGGATGAGGAGGACGAGGGTGGACGGTCCTGCGGCAGCGCAACCTTGGGCTGGCCAGAAGACCAACGCGAAGCGCTTCATCTCCGATTTTGCACAAACCGGAGTTAGGCCCCCGACGTACACCCGCTCCGACGGTCCGTCAAAACAAGTCCTCGCTTCCAATGACCTCTTCCACTCTTTTACCAACTCCCCGATTCCCGAGATCCGAAGGCGCGCTGCCTTCATAAGGCAATATGCAAACTGTCCACACCATGACCACCATCCCGGGGCCGGTATGGCTCCGGCACACGTCGATTTTGAGTGTCCCGACTGTGGCATTCCGGTTTATTGCAGCAAGGAGCACTGGGCTGACGACTATGAGGCGCATCTGCAAATCTGCGACACGCTGCGTGAAATTAACGAAGACGACCATGATCTCCGGTCTGGGAGGGTTTTCCCTGAGTTCAAATATGCGGGTGAGCAGCTAGAGGAGGCGCTCGTCAACATGAGCAACTGGGATACCTTCCTTTACACGCGACAGTTCAATGCCATCAACAATGACCGGAGCATGAGGCAAGCCACTCGGTTGTTGACGTACCCTGTGACAATCGGGAGCATTCTTCATGAGCTCAGTCCCTACAGTATCAAGTCTGGTGGCAGGATCACTCCGGAAGGGCTCAAGAGCTTCAGCGGTATGTCTCGTTTACTCCTTGAGGTCCATGGTATGGTGGATTCACTAACTTCTGCCCAAAATTAGCCCTCCGATACACCCTTCACCCCCCAAAAACTGGTGGTGGGCCAGGCATCAAGGGCCTCCGGATAGAAGCCCCCGCCGTTCGTCTCTTCATCCTCGGCGCTAGGGCTGAGTCGTCACTACCTCGCGATGCCTGGATTCAACTAGCCCATCTGTTCCCCTACCAGAGAATTCATCTGATTTTCATCGGCCCGGAAGCCATGCTTAACCGAGACGACGAGTTCCCGCTCCCGCCACGGACGGCCACCAACCCTTTCGGCGCTATCGTCGAGGACCGGATATGGCCGACCATGAAGATCAGCACCATTGTTGACTACTATCACACCATTCACAAGACTGGCTACTTTTACCCCTACGACCCATACTTTGATTGCTTCGTCATGTTCCACCCGGGGTTGGGGCATCCAGCCAGCTCCCACGAGTGGGAAGAGACGCTTCCCATGCTGCTGGAGACCAAGGCGCCCATCATCGTCACCGGGTACACCCAGGAGGATATGGTGCGCGACATCGACTGGGTCCACAAGACGGCAGCCGGTGAATTCGATGTGCTCATGGAGCCAGGCGAAAACGCGTTCCGCAGCCTGCGGTGGGACCTGAACGACCTCGACCCGCAGGATATCAGTGCCGGGAACTGGGGCGTTTGGGCGTTCCGTGGCAAGAGGTTCGTTTTCACTATCAAGCCATTTCTACGACATCCCATAGCTAACAATCAACTTGCACAGATATGAAACAACACGCAAGGAGGCAGAACAGCAGCAATAGCCAAACGGTGGTTCGGCCAGGGGTACGAAGGTACCGGCCGCTTTGACGTGGTGTGTATGATAAACCCAGCTGGTATGTTCAGGTCACTGTATCAAGAGTATATAGGTACCTATGTCTATCCGACACATGCATACACGCCTTCAGCAACTAGTCCTAGTTGATGGAAGCCTAAAAGAGACTCAATTCCGGTGGGTATCGAGGACACAGCAATACCCGCAGATCTGCAACGTGAAAAATGTCAAGAAACTGTGCCCAGGACTCGAGGTCCAAGACCGGCGGCCTAAATAAATTGAGACATCAAAATGATGACAAAATCATTGTGACTCCCAATTGTTCCCATATCCGTACTTATCATCTAATCTACAGTGGAAGTGTGAGTTTGCCGGTGATACCTTGAGCAACTTCTCCGCAAAGCGGGGTTCACCGCCTGCCCTTTTTGAACAGTGCATCATGCAGCAAGCTGCAGGTCCGAGGAGCAGGAGCAATCAGGCCACCGCTCTTCAACATCCCGCGCCGCAACTACCTGATCGTCAGATCGCGACCGCCCAAATACGACAGAGCAACGCCTGCTCCCAGAATTTTTTTGTGCCCCGAGATGCACCCGAGGTTCCACAATCGAACATGACGACGGGCTACCGCTGTCTGCTCTGACCTGGAATGCCCACGATGGCCACTGCAACAGCTGCCCAACCGGCCCCTTCACGCGCCCCGACTCCCCGCTCCATACCACCGCGCTCTTCTTCTAGTCTCCCGTCCGAGTCCGGAGCTCCGGGGACTTCTAAGTCGCGGACACAACAGGCCCAAGCTCCCGCCCAACCGCAGCAGTCGCAGGCGCAGTCGCAATCGCAACCGCAGCCACAATCACAGGTCCAGTCCTCTGCGCCGGAGGCCGATGGTTCTACCACTCAGGCACAACAACCGCCTTCGTCGGGGAATCGGCGGGGCCTTCGTACGGCTCCTAGCGGACCCCTCTCGGACAAGGCGACGGCGTTCCTGATCCGTCGCATCCTCTGTCCCCAACACGCCGACAAGGGCAGGCACACGCCAGCGCCCATCGAGGAGTTGCTCCCGCCACTGACGAGCCGGAACGATGTGGACCTGCAACTGTACGCTCTCATCGCCATCATCCTGCGCGAATTCGTCCAGAATTGGTACGCCAAGATCACACCCGACGAGACTTTTGTTGCCGAAATCGTCCAGATCGTGGCCCATCTTACTCGTGCTCTGGAGCAGCGACTGAGGAAGGTGGACTTGGAGTGCCTGCTATTTGACGAGCTGCCCGATCTCCTCGACAAGCATGTCACTGGTCCGTTGTTACTTCCACACCTGTACTCACTCTCATCCTCATCCACTTGCTCGCTCAGACATCACACATCTCCCCATCCACACAACCCTGAGTGTACAGGTCCGCGGACCCAAACCCCCGAGGACCGATGCGCTGACACCACACCCCATGCCTCGTAGCCTACCGAGTGGCCCACGATCCCATCACGCAGCCGCCCGTTAGAACAGACCCGCGCGAGATCTATCACTCGCTATGCCCGCTCCCCGCCCTTTCCCCCGTTCCCCGGCCGGGGGACCCTGAAAGCATCGCCCTGCAGGCCGCGAACGAGGCTGCCTATCGCCAACTGCTTGTCCATGGCTTCCTTGCCATTATGCTCCCCACCGAGGACGTTGAAAACGGCTGTTTGACGGCCCTGGTTGGTCAGATCCTTTCGGAGCTAATTATCGGCAATACGGTTGCCAACAGACTATCGGAGCCATGGCTCATCTGGGAACTCCTCATCATCGCGTCCAGGGCGGTCGGCCAGAAGAACACGACTAAGAATACCGGCCGCTTGGGGAAATCGAGCACCGGATCTTCAAACGCCAGATGGAGGTTCTCCGTGTACGGCCTATTCTGGACGAGCCTGCAGTGGTGCTTCCTCATTGTCTCGTTCGTGAGGGCGGCTTTTGCGGTCGTGCTGACAATAGGCTCTCTTCCTCCCCGGTCCGGCCGCGCCACAAGCCCAAAGCAGGACAAAATATCCCGAGACGGAATCAACCAGGGGCCCATCATGCCCACCACCGGTTTCGCCGATACGGATCTACCGCAACCACCAGCAACACCCGTGCTCGCATTTCGATTATGGTCAGCCATCTCGAATCTCGCCGAAATGGACGTCCGTATGCCCTGGTTGTGCGGCGCGTCCTCGATGTTACAATGGATCGCCGTCCGGGGGCCGGGGCGAATCGCCGATGTGAACGGCGTCCTCGATAGGTAGGAGGATTCTATTTTCTTTCTTGGCCCCCTCTCGCTTGAATCTGGACGCCCCCCCCCCCTTTCCGCGACTGAATCTGTCACACTGCATGGGCTGCCGGTCACTGGACCTGACGGCATCAGGAGACGGCACGAATCAGCACGTTTCCTGCGGCTCTGAGAAGTCGCGAGTGCGACACGGTAGTTCTGTGAAGCTCGCGGTTGTGCCTCGGCCGATGGTTCACGCAGTCCGATATTTCCCATCTTGGCGGCGGCCACACACAAGAAAAAGTTCGTGGGTGTGGGTTGTGTCCACCAAGGCCCAACGCCCAACCAGAACGGCCATCTCGGGGTAAAGGCTTGGATGCAGTGCAACACACCTACCACATGTCATGCGGCCAAATCGGCGACCCGCAGACAACGCTTCTTGCCGTGTTTTGCCATTGAGAGCCTGCATATCGAGTTCGGACCAATGGCGACCTCACATCGCCTTGGTCGAGTCTGATTGCACGACGGCCTTCGTGGGGCTTGCCCATCGATCCATCAACGAGCCTCATTTACGCGCCGAGCTGGGGGCCGGACAGGGGTCACGGAGCCTGAACGATCTTGAACTCGGTTTCTGTTCCCGGGGTTTTCTCTTTCACCCCTCTGTCACTGTGGCACTTCACGAGATCATCGGCGGCGGGGTTGTGCGCTTCGTACCGTCCCATGGCCGCCGTTTTTGTCTTCAACAGACAGATCGCCGCAATGAAGCCTATCCCTTCTGGGTTCGCGCTGCTCGGCGAACATGCCTCGAGGCCGTCAAAGTTCGCTTGGGAGGATCTCAAGTCACATCTTGAGACATGGAAACCTCTTCCTCACGCTTCACCTCTTTCTACTCTTCCACGCCCCGGTCCAGGTCGGCGACAGAGAACCATGCAAGTGCCCGGGAGCTCGGCGAACACGGCAAGATAGCTTCGACGGACGATCCCTCGCGCTAGGCCTCCGCGCCCATCGTGACCAGAGAATCAGAGAATCAGAACCACAAGGTCGAGAGTCATGGGGAGCCTCCTCATTGCCGAAAATCGACTGAACATGACGCGAGAGGTCGGAAGCTCAGTGGCCCATGCTCCCACTGCTCCCCCTGCTCCCCCGCATTCCAACCAGCAAGCTCCAGCAATCCTGGTCAGACAGGCCGCTTCAACCGAAGTTGTTTCTTGCTCATTTTTTTTGCGGCCAGTGCCGCGCCTTCCACGCTCATAATCTTCCCTATTTGTCTCACTCGGCCTTCGCCGTTCTGGATCAGTTTGTCATCCAGCTTATCCGAAGCCCACCCCCTAACCGTTTGGAAGAACCCCTCCCCCCGCTCCTTTTCCTCATGGAGTCTTCCCTGCCAGGCACGCAGGAAAAACCCCCCATCTTTGCTAACGGGGCCCCCACGCACCAGTGGTCTCATGAGAATGGGGCCCCCAAACCCCCGCCTTTGAGTCTTGACAAACCGAATATTCAGTTGTTTGATCTGCTGACAAGTTGAATGATTACAGGCTCCTATCAAACGGCATTCAGCGGCATGTCTTTGACGCGGCTAACCTACCCCCACTCCTTCGCACGGTGCGAGGGTCCTTGTTTCCCAACAATATGCCTGCCGGCAAGCCGACACTGGTCGCTCCCTCTTCCGATGCTGAACTGCTCGCCGTCAGGCGCAAGTGCGCTAGCGCTCTTTGGGCGCTTGTTCCGAAGGGGGTGGGAAGGCTCTATTTTGGCGGTGGCCTGCTGCGAGCTAATTCCGTTTCGAGCCTGAGTCGTGACAAAACGGAAGGATCTGCAGAGCTGAGGAGAGCTGCTGTGAACCACCTCGAGCACGGCGACAGGTCCGGCTCCAGGGACCGGGGTCTTTTGTCATTGTCATCATCGTCGAAGGCGGGCCTGGCAAACCAAAAAGCAAGGCAAATCGAAACGGCGCCAGTCCAGTCAAAGCACGCACGAGGACAGGAACAGCAGCCAAGATCAGGATCCTCCAATTCGCAATCCCGGTCCTCGCGGTCCGCTCCCGCTCCGTGGTCAAAGACCGGCGGTCAGGGTTCTGCTGCCGCAGCTCCTGCCGCCGCTACTGCGACCGTCAACGTTAACGTTAACGTGACTGCACTTCCTGGTGCGGATCCACCGCCGCTGCCGTTGTCTGAGACCACTAGCGCGAGCGCAAGTGAAATCGACACGGGCGGCGGGTTGGCGTCGACAGGGAGGCCCTTCGCAACGCATCGTGGTGGTGATGAGAAAGGTCAAGGCCACGGTCATCAAAGCCAGGGTCCATTCCATCATCAATCTGGCGGCTACGCTGCCCGGAATGATGACGATGCCACGCCCGCCGCCGCCGCAGAAAACATGGCTATAGACCGGGATCGGGGCCGGGGCCAGGACCGGGACCGGGATCATCAGGACAAGGACGGGAAGCGCGCGGACAATAATAACAACAGTGGCCAAGACGAAATGGTCGGCGAATACTCCGACGAGGGAGGAGATGACATGGGCGATGGCGAGGGCGATAGCGCGGGCCAGGACGAAGCGATCCTGATGGAGATTGAGCGGGGCATATTGGACGTCTTTTCCGACGCCTACTGCAACAAACATCTCGTATACGGTGCGCTGGAGCTGATCTTGGTCAGGCTGCTGCCGGAGTTGACGGAGAAAGGCGCGCTCGAGCTCTGGGCTGAGCGGTTTTCCGAGTGACTTGACTTGGGTTGACTTCAACTAGTGTAGAGACACAACAAAGCAAACTAAACTAACCAACTCGTCAGACGAAAAAAAAAAAACCTAATCTAACTCACTTTGTAAATTCCTGATTTGTCTGTCTGACTATTCTTCTCGTTTTGGTCCCCAACACGCACGAAAAAGGAACAGAATTTGAGACCAAATCTGTCTCCATTTGTTCGGCTGCAGGTGCAGGTGCAGCAGGCGCCTTGTGTCTGTCTGTCTATTCATACAGTACTTGGTTGGGGTATCCGAAGGTACTTGTCCAAGACTCAATGCGCGGAAAGGCTATCCATACCACATGCCACCCAAGATGAAAAAAGTGAAGACTGCATAAATTTCCTGATTTGCTAGCTAGACTTTTTTCTAACTAAGGTTAGTTAAGAGATTCTCGGGAGAGGAAAGGCGTAATCATGTCGCATGTCTTGTTAGCTTCCTTTCCCAACAAGACACATACATATCACCGCAACCAGGTCGAGATACTAGGTACGTATCCTTTACAGGGGGCAGCACGGGAGCGCGGAAATGGGTGTGGACAGAGAGTAAAGTTGTTCAATAGATTCCATACGGGGGCAGGACATACCCTTCCCAACCAAATATCCCAAAATCCGGCCGTGAGTAATAAACGAGAGTAGATCGATAGAGCAGACCAATATGTCGACTGTCCGCCGCCCAACCCCAGCCAAAATCCTGTTCCATCCCATTCCTATCCCGTCCACATCCAGGTCCATATGTCTAAAACAATTCTGCCTGTCCACCCTGGATTAAACGTCCCCCCTTTACGACTCCTTGCTGGTCCATCCCATCCGAATCCGCCCTAGCCCGTCTCCTGTCCACCCAGCCAAAAGACACAAGACGAGGGAAAAAAGAAGAAGAGCAAAATGAATGCCAGTGAAGAAACCCGTAGATCAGCCCGTACCTTGCGATCCGCGACCATAACCCCGGAGACCCTTGCGAGCCCTAATCCTACTCTTTTCCAGTGTTCCCAAAAAACACCCTTCTCCCGACCCGGAATCCCTGCCTATCGCCAACTCATCACCATACTTCCTAGTCGTTGACTTGCTGATCGTATTCACCGAAAGAAGGGGGTCAACCGAATTTTTTGAGATGCTCGTGCGATCATCCGTGGCCGTCATGGACAGACGAATCCGCGTGCGTCGTTAAAAGGGGGGTCCTGAAGAAGAAGACAAATGCAGATAGATGGTTTGAGAAAATTCGAAACTATAGTATACAGAGTGGAAAAGGGTAGAAATGCATCCAAGTACAAAACAGACGTATACCGGCGTAAAAGGGAGACAAAAAATGGGTTACTAAGGTGGTACCCAAAGAAAACCACAAAAAAAAAACCACTGTGGCAGTGAAAAGCAAAAAGGAAGGATAAGAGATGCAACAAACACCCGAAGCAGTTTCCATGGGAGGAGTCGCGTGAGCGTCCAGTCTTCCGGTGCCGAAGCGATAATAATGTGTGCGCAACCGGCACCAAGTTTGGGTATATGAATCGTAGAAAGGGGTATATCGTATTGGGTACATGCTGTTGTGTGTTTTGTGTGTTTGCGAGCGATCTGCGTCGGAGTCAAGTCTCCAACCTCCAAGCATTTGGGCGTTCAATATGCGGGAGACCGTCCTATCCAGTGATGCCAGATTCGGCTTTCATCATGCCCGGTGGCGCATTTGGCATCTCACTGTCCCCTTCTGGGATTCGTGAGAGTCCACCCATGCCATGCGCTGCGGCTTTAGCAAGCTGAGTCTGGTGCAAGCGCAATTTCTCTGTCAACCGTACCACGGCCATGTACTCGTTTTGGTCCACAAACCCAGCAGAGCTCGTGATAAAGGAGAGCAAAGTATCCGCGGCCCTGCGTGCGTCCTCTTGTGTCGGCGAACCCGGGGAGGAGCCAACGGCGCTAGATGTGACGGGCGTCGTCACCGATCGGCCGGCGATGCTTCCATTGCTACTGCTGTGCCGTAACTGCGGTGGCGAGACGGCCTGCTCAAAGCCAAACGCTGGGCCATTGGTTGTCGATTCCAAAGCCGAAGAAGGCGCGGTGGACGGGACGTGGTACTTCGGGGTCTCGGGTTCGGCTGACTGCGGTTGGTTCATGTACTCGAGATCTAACGTCGGGAATGTCTGGCTCCTCGGCCGCTGAAATCCCGCCGCGCCGGGGGGCATCTGTCCGTTTCGGTCTCCCTGCAGGAAAGATCCAACATTCGGGTCAGGAGAGAAGTTGAACGAGGCGGTCGGGCTGATGGCGCTGCTGGGGAAAGAGGGGGTTGTCGCATCGGTATAAGCGCCCGGGATAGATCCTGGACCTTGAGAGCCTGTGTGTCGGTAAGCGCCGTCGGTCGTGAAGCCCATGAAACTGCCGATGTTTTCCTTCTCTTCGTCGCTCTTGGATGCGGACAACGGCGACGGGGAGAGGTGGCCCAGGGGAGAAGCTGGGGAAATCGCGCTGTGTGGTTGCGATGGAAGCATTGAGGGTGAGCCAGAGGCCCGCATACTATCTGGGATGTTGGTTTCGGATGCGCGGCGAATGAGCCTCCCCGAGCCGATGCCATGTTTCGACATGAACTTATCGAGCCAGGCAGAGCTAGTGAACTCGCCGAGAGAATCACCAGAGCCTAACGACGTGAAGGCGCGCGCTTTCTCCCTCAGGGCTTCGCTAGTCACTGCAATGCCGTTCTTCTTGGCTTTTTGGACGTAGTTGATCAACGCCTTCTCGACGTTGGCTCCCTTGCCCTTGCCGATGCGCTTGACCGGAGAGCTGCTTCGCTCCTCCGAGTTCAAGAACTTGTCCTTATTCCGCAACACCTTGGAGACAGTACTAGCCGGCCATGTTAGAATCCCCCAAAAGGACCTCCTGAGAGGGCTTCGGATAATGCGAGCTTACCTCCGTTCAACCCCGAATCGGGCCCCGATGTCTGTCTGCTTCGCGGTGGGGTGGTCCTCGGCATACCGGCACATTTCTCGGCGGACCTCATCCGTCAGGGTCTTCCGGGGCTGAGAGGTGGTCTGGATCGCGGGGAGTTTGGTCGTCTTGAGCGGCGCGGCGATGGAAGGGATCGCAACAGGGGGAGCGGAGTGAGGCGGGCCATAGTTGTTTGGGTTCGTCAACATACTCGGCCATGTTGCATGAGGCATCATGAGCATGGGGAGCTGGGCATGGCCTGCGGGCTGATGTAAAGGTTGTGGAGGTGGCGGAGGGGGCATCCTGCCGAGGGACTCCGACGGTAGCCCGTGGCCGATGGGAGGCATGAAGCCATACCCGTCCCCGTAGTGTGACATCGTCGTCTGGTGCTGGAAGGAATTCATGTCGACCCAGGACTCGTTTCCATACGTGTTGTCGGGTGAAAGGTGGCTCTCCTGTTCCATGCCCGTCGAGGCCGTGATATGGTTGTGCATGGTGACGGGGTGACGGGTGATAGTGACGAGTGACGGGGGGTTCGTCTGGCTTAGACGAAACCGGACGGCAGTGTGAGGAGACGGGGACAGACGAGGCGACGTCTGTCTAGTTGTGGGATTGGTGCCGTGAAGAGACACTGGGCGTGAGGGGACCACACACAGACTCTTCCACTTTGTGGGGATGGAGCTCGTCCGGAAGGGATGGACAAGACAATGCTCAAGAAGTGGGATGCATGATACGGGGGGTGTCGAGCACCAATTGGCCCCTGGGATCGGACATGCAGCGGCCTGGCCGTCAACGAGGGTTGCAAGCTCTCGCGGGGGGGAAGAAGGGTGGGTAGCCGGGTGCGGAGTAACACAGAACCCAAAGTAAGGTCGCGGCTGCAACAGGCTTTGGTGGGGGTGGCCGTACAACAGATTCCGTAACGACCAGGGGAAAATGGGTTGAACTCGTCAGAGGGGGAACGTGGGCGGTCGCGAATTGAGGCCCGGCTGAGGAAGGCTGATGCGGCAGAGGCGAACGAAAAGGACGGACGGTACGGATAACGAGAAGTCAACCGCAGGTATTCGTAATGAATGGTAAGTATAGACACTAACACGAGTGCGAAGCGCCAGGTGGCCAGGTGAGAGGCCGCTCAACCAGCAACGAAACTAAGTCGAGTCCAGTCGAACCAAAATCGAAAGCTCCGAGATCCGCCGCACGGCCAGAAAGGGCGGTCGGTTGTGTGGGTGTTGTTCGCGGTCGAAGTTGGGGGTCGAAGAGGGAAAAGTGATGCCCAATTCATGCAGAACGGATGAAAGACGGGGCCGATCGACGCCCGCAGCGCGGCACAGAGCGCAGGCCGCAGGGCAGGGTCCCCAGAGAGAACAGTGGAGGGCACCAAAAGGCAAAAGGCCGAAACCCGGATAGGGACGGTGGGTCGGAGGTACTTCGTAGGTGGGATGCAGCTTGGCTTTTCCTCAACAGCACAGGGCGATGATGCAGTCGAGAGCAAACAAAAAGAGCGATCTGCCAGTGGCGGACCGCTGAAGGGCAAAAGGGCTGCAGCGCTGGCGCCGCAAATGCAGTCTGACCTCGTCTGAAATGCTGGACTGGGACGAGATCAGTCAGACGTGCAGGAGGGCAAGGAGACGGCAAGGCATTCGGTGGAGAGGGAGCATGCTCCAAGCGGCATATGTATGTCAGGGAAGAGCGGAAAGAGAGAGGTCTGCTCGCTCGCCCGCTGCTGAATGCAGAGTGCGCATCTCCTGGCAGGGGTTCCGGGGTCCTCGCTGCGGAAGGAGCAAGCATCCATTCGAGACTGGAGAATGGAGACGGGAATGGAGACTGGGAGCATCCATGGGGCCTGGAAGTGGAGAGAGGATTGGGCTGCTTCCCGGACGGGGGGACGGGAGGGTGTGAGGCGGGTGGGGGCGTCCAACGAAGAAAATCAAAAAGGCGTGAGCCGGGGCTGGCAGCAGCAAGCCCACGAGCAAGCCAGTCGTCGCCAGTGGCCCAGTGCGGGCGGGGGGCAGGGGTTTGGAGGGCGAAGGCAGCAACAGCGGCGCAGATGACCAACACGATGTGAGAACGTGAGAGCTC